TGACACACGTAGATAGTCAGGCGGGGCTGTATACACCTGAGAGATATGAGCAGAGTACGAGGTGGAACATGAATCAACACGACACAAAATAGTGGGTTGTTTGCCTTGTTGTTCACCGAAACAGAACTTACGCTACAGTTTCTTTTTGTCAAGTTATCCGTTAAGAACAACAACAAAAAGATGTGAAGAGTTTGTATGGAGGCAATGACTTTTGCATTTGTCCGTCTTCCAACAACACCTATAATTGTTTTTCTCGAGGCCACATTTACAAAAGAACGATCCACTGAGGAAGTTTTCAAAAAAAGTTCCACGTTCAGAAAACCACTATGACCACTATTTCCACTATAATTCATTTAAATGAAGTTGGAAGTTGAAAATAAAGTCAAAGTGTAGTCCCTGTTGTGATAAAAATGCCTCCTCCTTTCTTTTACTTGGCAGTTAATGTTTCAGTATAACTGCCACGTTGTTTCTTCCTCCTCTTTAAGACCAAGGTGCTAATAGATCAGATCATGACAGAGAATAGAAATGTAGAAATAAATCTCACAGTTGGTAAATGTGAACCAGATCAGCTGTCTGAGGGTTATTGGAGGATAAAGGTTGGCACTGGCCACACCTAAACCCTAAATACCTGAATCCAGTTTATCCTGAAATGTAACTATGAAATGCACATGCGCATGTCATTTAATGATGCTAACAAGCATGGCGTGACTTCCTTATCCACGTCAGGAGTAGAAGTATTTGTAGCTGACGAATATATAATAAAAACAAGTTCTCCCATGTTTGACTTGTTTTTACCTTTAAATTCACAAATGATTGCTTTCTTTGCAGTGTAGATTAATTCAATGATGAGAGGCATTTGATTGATCCCCAGGTGGTCTTTGAGACGTAGTCATTTATATGACATGCTTTTTCTTGATAGACACGAGGGAAAGTCATGTTTTCATAGTCCACAAATAAAAAACTTTCAGGGCCCCTTATATATGTTCAAAAAACTCACATGAACTTGACGGCCAGAGTCTGATTCTTTTTTGAACATTGTTTCATCTGAAATAAAACATAGTTTTACTCTCTGTTGTAACAGGCCTTTAGATGTACTTGAATTAACTTTTTACGAATATTAAGGAACAGTGGAAAATTCATTATTTTAACTTAAATTAAGTTAAATTAATTTAACTAGATAAACTGATGATGAATGATGAGAAAAGTCCATCCTCTCCATCTTTTGCCTGCTCCACTTTTCAGAAAATGTGTGCTCAAACAGACCGTTTGGAGATATTCCCTTCATGACATCACAAAGGGCAGTAACCCCTCCCCCAGCTGGGTGACACTCCCACAGCTAGGCGTTTGTTCTGCCCTCTAAGTCTGCCTTCTCACCGTAAACAATAGAACATGGAGCGAGAAAGCCCGAGTCACCCAAGCCCTTCCAGAGAGGGGGCGTGGTCAGACACAGCTCATTTACATTTAAAGGTACAGACACAGAAACAGCCTGTTCTGAGCAGGGCTGAAATAGAGGGTTTTATAGACATGATCAAATACAGGATCAGAGTTGATTTAGAACAAGAAACTTCACACACATGTTTTGGGGAGTTCTGAGACTTATTTATGCTGGTTGAAGAGGAGGAGAATATGTGACCTTTAATACATTTGGGGTTTGACTAAACAATTGGTACAAAAAGTAAGCAGTAGGCTGCAAGTCAGCGAGCAGCTGTTAGCCTGTCTGTTATCCACCAACAATGAACAATATATTCCGCACACTTCCACTGATGAAACGTTGAACCTGCAGAGCAGCTGTTGGTCATTTCAATACGACGTGGTAGCCGTCTGTGCTTCCGTCTGGAAAAAACAAAACGGTGAAAGATCATTAAAACTCCAAAAACTAGGCCACACATAGGAAATATGTTGTGAGTTTAAAGGTTGACTAATACAGTTATTACCCCTTGTAGTGCTGAGGATGAAGCTCATTTCCTCCTTAAAGTTCTGAACCATCTGAAAAGTATGGATGGACCAAAGTTGACATCTTATTTGCATTTCCAAATCATCATCATCATCATCATTAAACCGCTGTTTCCCGTACAACCAGCCTTTCACAGGTTCTGTTTTTAGCTAGGTTATAAACGCTGACAGGACGGGTTGAACTTATTCCAATGACGCACATGAGAACTGCTTAGTCTGTTTCTTTTATCTCCAAATAGTGTTGTTTTTTAAAAATATAATTTTGGGCCATTTTTGCCTTTTTTTTTCTAGCCTTTATGTCAATTCACCTCGTCGGACACTAACACATGAATCCCGGAGGGGTTTTGTCTGTAGATGTGTGTGATTTGCTGTGGAGTGATGCTGTACAGCATGGCGATCTTTTCAGACAGGTCCAGCAATGTGAGCTCCTCCAGGTACAGAGCGTGGTAGACTGCAGAGAGGACAGGGGAGACAGAGGAAACATAAGAACAGGATACAAGTCAATGTCCTACTTATGGAGGACTCCAAGTGATGCTGTGAGTTTTATTGATGTTCTCTTGTAAAGACAAATATTGTTTTCCTCATATTACCACAGCTACAGTGAATTACTAGAAACTACTGGAAAACATTTCCAGAAACCCTTAAAGACCCAGTCACCCCTTTGAAATATTAAAAATGGTATTAAAGAGTGTGCAAATAAAGCCAGGTAGATCTATACAAGTAGATACAATACAATAAATCTGATGAGATTTGGGTGCACTCACCGTCTCCCCCGCCTGGTTTGGTGGGAGCTTGATTTCTGGCCTGCTGCTGACACACGTAGATAGTCAGGCGGGGCTGTATACACCTGAGAGATATGAGCAGAGTACGAGGTGGAACATGAATCAACACGACACAAAATAGTGGGTTGTTTGCCTTGTTGTTCACCGAAACAGAACTTACGCTACAGTTTCTGAAAATGTCTTTTAAACATTTGGTATAAACTGCATTATTAATGTATTTTTCCATTCTTTATATCACTTTTTGTCAAGTTATCCGTTAAGAACAACAACAAAAAGATGTGAAGAGTTTGTATGGAGGCAATGACTTTTGCATTTGTCCGTCTTCCAACAACACCTATAATTGTTTTTCTCAAGGCCACATTTACAAAAGAACGATCCACTGAGGAAGTTTTCAAAAAAAAAGTTCCACGTTCAGAAAACCACTATGACCACTATTTCCACTATAATTCATTTAAATGAAGTTGGAAGTTGAAAATAAAGTCAAAGTGTAGTCCCTGTTGTGATAATAATTCCTCCTCCTTTCTTTTACTTGGCAGTTAATGTTTCAGTATAACTGCCACGTTGTTTCTTCCTCCTCTTTAAGACCAAGGTGCTAATAGATCAGATCATGTCAGAGAATAGAAATGTAGAAATAAATCTCACAGTTGGTAAATGTGAACCAGATCAGCTGTCTGAGGGTTATTGGAGGATAAAGGTTGGCACTGGCCACACCTAAACCCTAAATACCTGAATCCAGTTTATCCTGAAATGTAACTATGAAATGCACATGCGCATGTCATTTAATGATGCTAACAAGCATGGCGTGACTTCCTTATCCACGTCAGGAGTAGAAGTATTTGTAGCTGACGAATATATAATAAAAACAAGCTCTCCCATGTTTGACTTGTTTTTACCTTTAAATTCACAAATGATTGCTTTCTTTGCAGTGCAGATTAATTCAATGATGAGAGGCATTTGATTGATCCCCAGGTGGTCTTTGAGACGCAGTCATTTATATGACATACTTTTTCTTGATAGACACGAGGGAAAGTCATGTTTTCATAGTCCACAAATAAAAAACTTTCAGGGCCCCTTATATATGTTCAAAAAACTCACATGAACTTGACGGCCAGATTTTGATTATTTTTTTATGTTAACTAATGAACATTGTTTCACCTGAAATAAAAAATAGTTTTACTCTCTGTTGTAACAGGCCTTTAGATGTACTTGAATTAACTTTTTACGAATATTAAGGAACAGTGGAAAAATTCATTATTTTAACTTAAATTAAGTTAAATTAATTTAACTAGATAAACTGATGATGAATGATGAGAAAAGTCCATCCTCTCCATCTTTTGCCTGCTCCACTTTTTAGAAAATGTGTGCTCAAACAGACCGTTTGGAGATTTTCCCTTCATGACATCACAAAGGGCAGTAACCCCTCCCCCAGCTGGGTGACACTCCCACAGCTAGGTGTTTGTTCTGCCCTGAGTCTGCCTTCTCACCGTAAACAATAGAACATGGAGCGAGAAAGCCCGAGTCACCCGAACACTTCCAGAGAGGGGGCGTGGTCAGACACAGCTCATTTACATTTAAAGGTACAGACACAGAAACAGCCAGTTCTGAGCAGGGCTGAAATAGAGGGTTTATAGACATGATCAAATACAGGATCAGAGTTGATTTAGAACAAGAAACTTCACAACATGTTTTGGGGAGTTCTGAGACTTATTTATACTGGTTGAAGAGGAGGAGAATATGTGACCTTTAATACATTTGGGGTTTGACTAAACAATTGGTACAAAAAGTAAGCAGTAGGCTGCAAGTCAGCGAGCAGCTGTTAGCCTGTCTGTTATCCACCAACAATGAACTGGATTGACGTTGGTCCAATAAAATTGCTTATTTTGTCCAGTTAGATCATTTTGTTAAACCAGAAACAACTGTTGTATCACTTACTTTAAAGGTGCTGGACTCCTTTGACATTATCAGTCATTTATCTATTACTTTGTTTTTGAAATTGTATTTTACACAGACATTGTGTCGGTGAAAAGGTAACATTTACAACATTTAGAAGCTGCACAATAAAACAAACAAATTAACCAATCAAGGCAGCAGTATGTCATAAACTTAGTTGTTGCCAGATAAAGATAACGTTTCTGTCAGTGGAGTCTGGAGGCCTTCAGAGAAATGTAACGGCTGTTTCTGGTTTTAGAAAAAAGCATCCCACTCTGTAGTTAAAGGAAGTTTTCTGTAATATTGTCAGAAAGTTACAATAAGCATCAGAGCCTGTAAGTTGGAAAAACACATTTTTTAATGGACATGATTAAATATGTTTACCCTCGGGGGTTACTTCTCATGCGTTACAGACTGATTCTGAAAAAAAGGGCTGTAGTTACAAACTCTGAAATTCTTCTTTGACTGACTGAAATATATTCCGCACACTTCCACTGATGAAACGTTGAACCTGCAGAGCAGCTGTTGGTCATTTCAATACGACGTGGTAGCCGTCTGTGCTTCCGTCTGGAAAAAACAAAACGGTGAAAGATCAGTAAAACTCCAAAAACTAGGCCACACATAGGAAATATGTTGTGAGTTTAAGGGTTGACTAATACAGTTATTACCCCTTGTAGTGCTGAGGATGAAGTTTGTTTCTTCCTTAAAGTTTTGAACCATCTGAAAAGTATGGATGGACCAAAGTTGACATCTTATTTGCATTTCCAAATCATCATCATCAATAAACGCTATTTTCAGTACAATCAGCCTTTCACAGGTTCTGTTTTTAGCTAGGTTATAAACGCTGACAGGACGGGTTGAACTTATTCCAATGATGAACATGAGAACTACTTAGTCTGTTTCTTTTATCTCCAAATGTTGTTTTTTTTAAATATATTTTTGGGCCATTTTTGCCTTTTTTTTCAATCCTTTATTTGCCTTTATGTCAATTTACCTCGTCGGACACTAACACATGAATCCCGGAGGGGTTTTGTCTGTAGATGTGTGTGATTTGCTGTGGAGTGATGCTGTACAGCATTGCGATCTTTTCAGACAGGTCCAGTAGTGTGAGCTCTTCCAGGTACAGAGCGTGGTAGACTGCAGAGAGGACAGGGGAGACAGAGGAAACATAAGAACAGGATACAAGTCAATGTCCTACTTATGGAGGACTCCAAGTGTTGCTGTGACTTTTATAGATGTTCTCTTGTAAAGACAAATATTGTTATATTACCACAGCTACAGTGAATTACTAGAAACTACTAGAAAACATTTCCAGAAACCCTTAAAGACCCAGTCACCCCTTTGAAGTATTAAAAATGGTAGTAAAGAGTGTGCAAATAAAGCCAGGTAGACCTATACAAGTAGATACAATACAATAAATCTGATGAGATCTTTTTGTGTGCAAATAAAAGTTCAGATTTAGTTAAGCAACATGATTTTGAAAGTATCAATTAGTGAATATGTTTCAACTTTAGTGATCTGAAGTATTACCATGATTACAATAATTATGCTTTTGCATAAGCATGTTACACTTTGGGTGCACTCACCGTCTCCCCCGCCTGGTTTGGTGGGAGCTTGATTTCTGGCCTGCTGCTGACACACGTAGATAGTCAGGCGGGGCTGTATACACCTGAGAGATATGAGCAGAGTACGAGGTGGAACATGAATCAACACGACACAAGATGGTGGGTTGTTTGCCTTGTTGTTCACCGAAACAGAACTTACGCTACAGTTTCTGAAAATGTCTTTTAAACATTTGGTATAAACTGCATTATTAATGTATTTTTCCATTCTTTATATCACTTTTTGTCAAGTTATCCGTTAAGAACAACAACAAAAAGATGTGACGGGTTTGCATGGAGGCAATGACTTTTGCATTTGTCCGTCTTTCACCAACACCTGTAATTGTTTTTCTCAAGGCCACATTTACAAAAGAACGATCCACTGAGGAAGTTTTCAAAAAATGTTCCACGTTCAGAAAACCACTATGACAACAACCGCTGTGCACACAGATCTGCGGAAAAAAAACCTTAAAAAAAAAGCTGTAATACCCATACCAGTCCAGTAGCTGGCGGTGTGACTTTGTAATGAAACAACCCGTGCATGCTAAGCCAAATACTAACGAGAATGGGTAGAGCGTTCACAGTAAGGCCTCACCTTCCTTTCATGGTGTTAAAAAGACGGATACCATCAGCAGGGCCACAGATCTGGATCAAATCTTCTTTGCTCATCCTCAACAGATCAGCACCTGCAACAACGACGGATAATATTTTCCCCCTTCTTGCATTTCATCACTGAGTAAGTCAGCTGAGTGCCAGCACTCTCTTACTGTATAATAATTCCATGGATTTTTATGTTTTGTATTGTTGGCCCCAGTTACCTGAGAAGCTGGAGAAGAGCCGTGAGAAAGGAGAGAACCTGTGATGGTGCAGCCACTGCTGAGTGTCCTGCAGCGAGGTCGATGGCAGAAGGTGCTACATGTCAAAAAGAAGAAGAGCCCTTGAAATGAGTATAGCAGCACAGCATCCACTGTCTCCAAATAATGGCCTAAAAGGAATAAGAGAGCAACATTAACACCGCACTGTTCTACTGTTACTTACATCTGAGCAGCTGGGCATGAGCAGCTCCCCCTGCTGGTTTGGGGAACAGTTCCTTTAAAAACATGCACATAAGGAGGAAAGAACAGGTAAGGTGATTGGTTGAGTGTTTCATCCGTCAGTTAAATAATAAATTAAATGTTTTTCTTAAGCTGTGTTTACAGATCCCAGGTTGGTAACATTTATGCTCCTGCACATACTCGTGAGCACCCATAGAGGGAGCTGTTGCCACTGTAATGTCACACCTGTGGTTCAAGGGGACTTTTGGCTTGTTTAAACCTGGGCCCTAATGTGACATATTTTTGATTCTTAATGACTAAGATTACATTATTCACTTCAGAGCCACCAGAAACTTCTACCACGTCTACCACTGCCTCTGCCAGGTTTTTCCTGTTATTGTTGTGTCTCCAACTAACCCAGAGGAACTCAAAAAAATCCCAAGCCAATACTGAAAACGAACATATTGAGCTCTGATTTGACAGGCAACTTCTAAATTCTGCAATTACATTTTTTGTCAATGTAGCCTTGTGTGTCTAAAGAGAGAGATGTAAGTGCTGTTTTTTGGTCAACAAAAAGAGCATCTATTCCTGTTTAAAAGCTCTATCTTTGACAGGAGTCTTTCTGCATTGGTACAAACATCTGAGCCTCTCAGTGACAGAAAAATATGTATCTGTATGTGCACATACTTTGACTGTACCTGAAAGACTGTTTGGCAGCCATGACAGCCCGTGTTGCCGCTACTAGCTAAGAAAATCTTTGGGTTTCAATTTCAACATTTTGTGCACAGTTTGATCATTAAGCTCCTCATAAACGATTAACTAGGGCCCATATTTCAAACTAACATATTTATCCTTTAACCATCACCTAGTAGGATAATTTACATCGTACACCGCCAAAAATGAAACCAAGAAATCTTCTGAACCCACACCTGACCAAAGAATTACATTTCTGCAATGAAATCTCTTCGAAAAGCACAACTTTTACAAACTTGACGTTCATCAGCGGTCTACAGGTCTACAGGTCTACACTCCAGGACAAAACAAAATGAATGTGGTTGCTGACAGAACACAAATGGTGACGCTGCAGGGCTTTAATGCTGACTCACCCATCAGTGAAACTACAGGATGTCGGGGAGCTGTGGTAGACTGGTGATGGAGCGCTGCTGCTGCTGTGGTTGGTGAAGTTTAGAGCATCAGGCCAAGGAGAACACTTGATAGAGGAAACAGAGAAAGAACAGAGGTGTTGTCTGATTATTCATCAATGCACAGTTAGACGGAGGTCCTAAGTCTCTTTCAGTCACTTTTTTACCATTTTTTCCCCCTGTTTAAAATGTCCATTTTGACAGTAGAAATCAACATGTTTACATCCTGGTACAAAAGACGACTTTGGTCTAACTAACTAACACACACTATAAAAACTATAACTAACACACACTATACAAGGTGTGGGGGGGGGGGCGTTATAACTCATCCTGTTGGATTTTATGAAGGATATGATCTATAGACCATCATGGACAACACTGATCATTTCTGCAGTTCATCATTATTTGTACTTTCTGTAAGCACTGCTGCAGGGTCAGTGTCAGACGAGATGAATAACAACAAACTGAAGAAACTTCAGATTCAAACTGAGTGATGTGTTTGACTGTGAAAGAAAGCAGGGTGACTATGTGTGTCAGAATACATTACATTAAATGTTTACAGGACAAGATCCACAAAGAGGTAAGAGGTAATGCTTTGTCACCAGGGGGCGCCATCCCAGCTTTACCTGTGCAGTCTCTGAATGTAGACGTTTGAATGCTTTAAAAAAAAATTGTGTCCATGTACTTTTGTAAGAGAAAAGGATCACTGGACTCATAGAGTGCATGTTTGAGTAACACTTAGTCAGAATCTGCTGAGTCACTTGATTTCCAAAGACTAACGAAATGGCACATCTGGGGCCTCAATCATTGACAGAGCTCAGCGGTGAAGGCAGCACACTTCTGAAGGAATGGCTCAAAACAAGGCAAAGCAACACATTAACATTCAGAACTCTAGCCCTGGTTTAAAGTGGACTGTGTGTAGGAATGTTTTCTGACTTGCAGGTCAAGCAAAGTAAATAATAAATCCATTATTTTGTAGCTTCAGTGCTGAGGAGATTACATTAATATCCACACAAGACAAGAGTGTAGCTGTGAGGTCAATAAGATTGCAACACTTCAGACAAAAAGAGAGTAAACAGACAGTCATCTCAGGTCAGATCTGTTATGTTATGTGGACAGTTTGCCTCACCTCTTTCAGCACGGTGGTCTCGTGGGACAGTTGATACTTTTCTCTGTCTTGAGGCGTCTTTTTAGCGATCTTTTCCCTGTCTGTCTTCAGTTTGCGATCAGCTCCTTTAGGCTGCCAGAAAAGAAAGAGACGAGAAGTAATCCAGTTATAAATATATGAATGTGTATTTCTCATGGATGATGTCGCCCGGTGGTTAATACAACATAACTTTGTGCTACAGGTACAGGCTGTAGCAAAGACACATGTCAGGATGAACGCTTCTTACCTTGAACACTTTGACCTGGCAGCTGGAAGAGTGGACGTGCTCCATGTATTCCCTGTGTTCATTGGTGGTAAAAGTGTCCACCTGGATACGAAAGGGGACTCCCTTTTCCCCGCCATGCTTCCTGGGGGTAAACTCAGTGCTAATGCAGTTGACCTGAGAAGACGATGCAAGAGAGGGTGTGCTTACTGTAAACGTTTGTGGCATGTGCTTAGAAAGCTTCTCCAGAGGTTTAGCTTGCGACTGATTAAATTGTACCTGGATGAAAACAGAAGCGTTCTTCACAGGATCCCAGAGAAACTCGATGGTGTTGAGGTGCATAGGGTGGGATCGAGGCTCCATTATGCCCACTGACAGCGGGATATCTGCAAACAATCAGTCAAGATGGTTCACGTTCATTTTCTCAGTGGTTGGTCCTGAACTTTGATCAAGTCTTACAGTATATGAGTTTGTGTATGAATTGCCCTGAAGTTTGTTGAAATCCTTGAAAGTTTTTTGGCCTTCAGTTTTGCAGCCTTGAGTTTGGCATTTTGGCCGTCGCCATCTTGTTTCTGTTTTGTTTTTAATTTTAAACTAGAAGCCAACTTATATGGAAAGAAGAGTGGATACTGATTGCTATAAGCTTGACAGTTTGTGTCCCGTATATGGAGGCTATAGTCCTCCAAGTGGACGGACCGGCTCCTTTCCTGCATGTCATTTCCCACTCTCTTTCTCCTGATTTCCTACTCTATCCACTGTCCCATCCATATAAAGGCAATAAACAAGCAAATATTAATCTAAAAACAAAGAAAAAAGAAAAGAAAACAACATGGACTACTGTTGATATTCATCAGATTTGTCATCCCAAAGTATTGGAGTGTAATTCACTCTCTTGCCATCATCTCAAAAACTCCATATTTGGTCTCTCTGCCACAATGTGCGTGAAAGAAACTGAGCTAAGACTGATACTGGGAAAAGTTTCATAGTATCAGACCAAATAACTGATCTGCCCTTTTTAATGAATATCAGCACTTTGTATGTTGTTTGATCATGTCTTCTTTTCAGGGATCTTTGTTGGGTCTATCATTTGTAAGTTAAGTTCTCTCACCTATATCCAAGATCCGGTCCCCGGGTCTGTTCCACCTCCATCCCTCAAGCTGCTGGTGCTCCATATACTGCAGTCGGCGGTCATGAAACACCACTCGAACAATGCTCTGTGAACAGGCAGGATCAAGAGTTTAGGCCAGAGCACAGCTACAGCCTGAGCGGGGAAGCTGTCACACAGCCAAACAGCTGGACTGTTGGGCAAAGTGTGAAAAAGCTCCCCTCTATCAACCAATCAAACATACAGAGGTCATTCTTTACAGAGCATCTGCACATGTCCATCAGGACAATGAGACGCGGCACAAACACTGACTTCCTGCCTACAAATCAGGGCTTCCACACGTACATGGGCAGCAATTTAAAGATAAATGTTTTGAGATGAGAATAGTGTCATCATCCAATTGGGTCTTTGAGGACTTTATAAAGTCTTGTTTGGTGATATTCAAGCATATAAAATAAGGGAGTTTTTACAAAGTCACCAAACAGATCAAAACAATCCATCTGTTAGCTTTCCAGACCTCAGAAGTTTTTATTCTTTATTTGCCGCTAACGCACAAACTTTTCAATCTGCGTGGGAACCCTGAAAAAGCAGGAAGAAATCTTTTGACCATCCATGCACCCGTCAGAGCCAGTAGCTGTCACTGCTGCCTCATGACACCACCCTTGTGTTAGCTAGCATTCATCTTGTCACCATATCAGACAAAGATTAGATATGCAGTGCATGGGTTAGGATTTCATCAAAGGATTACTCTACTTCAACTCTCAAAGTTCAATTCACATGTCACCAGCATTTCTACTCTTATCATAAAAGGGATTTTATTATATTTTAAAGCTTGGCCCTATTTCTTTCATATTTAAGGGTAAAAAAAATAATCTCTGCAAGTCTGAATGTGTGACAGCTGCATCAGATGAGAGTGGAACTAAAGGACAATAAAGGGAAACGCTAACACACACTGTCTCACTTTTTGCTGACACATTGATTGACCCACACAACATTTCAGAGTAAACAACTTAAACGATCAGGTACGATGGCAACAGCAAAACATTTCCATGTATACCGGTACTTAAAGAACCAAAGAGAAAGCTTCAGTTTTCCATCAGCCAATCAGAGAGCCACTGAGATTGACGATCACCTGAAGCTGCTTAGTGCATCATCAGCCACTACATTGTTTTGAGAAGTCAAGATAAATCACAATACATGTTAAATATTCATGTAAACTTTACACCCTGCACATTATAAAGTGAGTTTCATCTCATAAATAGTCACAAGACTTGAAATATCACATCAGTGAGTGGCTCTCTGATTGAGTGATGGAAAATAAAGGCAGTCTCTCTGGTTGTATTTATATACATATTTTTTGATGCTGCCATCGTACCTGATGAAGAACAGATAGACCTGAGCATTGAGGGATTGAATAAATATGTCAGCACAAAGCGAGACAGTGTGCAGGAGCTTTTCTCATGTCAACATATCTAAAGGTCAAAATGGGACTATATAGGGTCACCTTTAATCGGGATCTTTCCTTTTGCCTATCTCTCAGTAGTACCCTGCTCCCTTTCGAGCCATCCTATTCAAAATCCTGGCACTCATGGGATAAATCACCAGATTGGGTTAACAGCCTGTAAAAACATGTACCATCCACTGGCACATTTATGGGGGAGGGAGCATGCATGAGTGAGCACCAGAACTTTAAAAAGCCCTGGACCCGGGACGTCAGGTGTTTGCAGAGAAGCCACCTGTTTCAGAATTCTTGTGTTTCTAGGATGCTACTGTTAACATTAATGTCTCAGTGATGGCGGTGGCAGCCTGACCACGGAGACATGGCGAGTGGATGCACACACACAGAAGTGAAATAAGTGACCCTCCCTGCCCTTAATGAGTGTTTTAACAAATGTCTCTGCAGTGAAGGAGTCACTTCTGAAATGTCATCATATATAGGCTATACAGTAAGTAGTATGAGAGAAATTATGGGCTGATGTGTAAGTGAGAAAGCACTACAAGGCCCTGTGTCCACCTGGCCTTTTTTTCCTGAGTGGTAGCGTCTTTTTTCAACTGTTTTTAATGAGTAAAGAGCGTTTGCAGCAGCAGACGAACGCCTGGAGAAAAAGCGCAGCATCCAGTTCTTCTGAGCGCTCCTCCTTTGTTGTGCGGCCACTCCAAGCGCTCAAGTTGAAAATCTTACATACATTAATCTAGTTATGCCTCCTACGGATCGTGTCTTGTACCCACATCCTCTTTGCTCCATGTCTGCTGTAGTCAAAACATAGCTACAGTAAAAAACTGAGCAGTGTCGGTCATACAGCGGCCGATGTCATACAGCAGACGGTTGTCAGCGCACAAATGATTCATGCAAGTGCTCCTGAGCGCACAGTCAGCGCCTTTTTGCCCATAAAAAAAAGCTACAGGTGGACACCAGGCCTAAGCTGTCCTGACATTATACATTTTCAGGAGTGCATGTGTGTGGCTGTGGAGGCACCAGCATGAACTACGGCGAGTGTGTTTATTGTGAAGAGAGCGTGTGAAGTGAAGACAAGTTGTGTGTATTTGAGGAAATGGGTAAGTTTGGGTGATAGTACCAAGCTCTTCAGGGTGGACACCCCACCCCTGAAGTGGAAGGGAGGGTCGAGGGACCTTGGACAAACCAGCAAAGCGAAAACATAAAAACATTGAGAAGAGAAAGAAGAGAGAGAGAGGTCACATGAAATAACACACACAATGCCTTACACCTACCTTTACATATTTGCTGCTTATATCTGTATACTCCACTAGTTTTCTGTTTAGCATACGGATTTCGTAGGACTGACCTACATTTTAAAACATTAAGAAAAACCTGATTAAAATTTTTAAAAATGGGAAATCAGTCAATCATAAAAGAAGGGGCAGTGGAGATAGAAATTAATATAAATCAAGTAGGCCTATACTTATAAATCATTTAAAAAAAAAGAAAACGTTAAGTGAAGAAATAAAGGCCAGACATGATGAAACGTTATACTGAACAATCAAATAGTCAGGTCGGACATGTTAAGAATATCTATTTGAAACATGTTGATTTCTGGTTTTTAAATTCAGAATTTCACATTTTTACATAAAAAAAAATAATGATTTCTAAGAATTCTGAAAACATTTCAAACTTAAGAATCCTGAATTGAATCTTAGACTTTAACTTTCTTCCATAAATCAATCAATAAAAAACAATTAAATAGATATAAAGATCAAATTGAAAGTCAGAATTCAGTGATAAAACTAACGTTAGGATACTGACTCGATCAGTAAAGAAAAGTTCTAAAAAAAAAAAACCCATAAGGGGTAGAATTCTTAAAGAACTTTAAACTTGTGTTTCTAAGGTTTTCATTATTTTTTATAAAATTTGAATCGGCAAAAAACTTCTGAAATTTATATTTTTTTCTAGAATATTAAATTATTTCTGTTTTGTATTTCTTTTAAAATCCAAATTTTAAAGTTTAAGTCACATATATTAATTTAAATTCTGTATTTAAATGTGTTTTTTTTTATCTGAGAATAAAAAGTCAGAATTGTTTAAACTCAGAATTTTTTTTTTTAAATCCCTGATTTTAGAGCTTATTTTAACGAGTTAAGTGTTTTTAACTCTTGTCTTTATGATTTGCTCTTAATGTTTGTCTTTAAGTTTATGCTTTATCTTTATTAGTCTGAATGACCATAAAGATCTTTTCTCTCATCCTCTCCTGAGACTATCGAAGCTTTTTCACCTTCACAGTAATAAATAACCGTGATGGTGAAACATTCATCGTCATTGTTTACATGGCGATGGAAATGTTTCCCATTGATGCATTTTTTTAAAGAACGCTTACGTCATTTTTTTAAAAATCCAACCAAATGACTGAACAGCAGATAAGAAGGGAGACTTGTTGATCAATGAGGGTAAACAAATCAGATGAGAAATGTCACTGAGTTAAACAAGAGAGGAAGAAATAATCAGAAGGTTGAGTTGGGGGGGAGCGAAGGAGAGGAGGAAGAACAATTTGTAGCGGCATTAAAGTAAAGAAAAGACGTGAGATATAAAAGATTAAAGATGAAACTGATCCAAGCTGACACATTGAGGAGCTCATGTTGCACAAATCCGCAATAAGAAGGTCAACATTGAATCATTGCAATGCTTTTCAAATCCTACTTAAGCTATTTTAACATTAATGCTTCATTTCTTTGTATTAATGTAATCATCGACAGGAAGTCTACAGAAGCAAAAAGAGGCCATAATAGTAAAAAGTTTGCAAGTGACAAAATATCTCATCGAGTTGTGATGCTGTTCTCTCGACATGACATACAAAAGCTTTAACAAAAAACGTTGTAATTGGCTAATATAACGACATAGATTCTGTCATCTCTATGCATCTCTCAAACAGCTGTTTTTTGTATTTAAAAAAATAAAATTTTCTCTGATGATTTTAAATTGCTTTCAAAACAAATGCACAGGCCAGCCACATCGAGATCTTTAAAACGCTGTGTATACTATTTCTGTCCACAGGGGGCTGCAAATCGAGACAAATCAAAACAATTCCTAAAAGGCTTTTTATGTCAATGTTTTAGTATCGGAGGTGCCGATAGCCTAGCGGTTATGTTGCGCCCCATGTATGGAGGCAGCTGGCGTGGGTTCAAATCCGACCTGGGCCCTTTACAACATGTTACCATCCCCACTCCCACCTCACAATATTTCCTGTCTCTCTTCAGCTGTCCTATCCAATAAATGCAAAAAAGTAAAAAAACATCTTATCTAAAGAAAAATACTTTCCTCTGATTTTAATCTGCTTTCAAAACAAACGCAAAGGCCAGCCACATCGAGATCTTTAAAACGTGGTGTATACTACTTCTGTCCACAGGGGGGCGCCAAATCTAGGCAAATGAAAACAATTCCTAGAAGGCCTTTTATGTCAATGTTTTAGTAGCAGGGGCGGCGATAGCCTAGCGGTTATGTTGCATACTTTGTTTACGCAGGATTTAACCCTCGTCGCAGCGGGCGTGGGCTCAAATCCGACCTCAGCCCATCCCCAGACTCTCCTGCCAACGTTTCCTGTCTCTCTTCAGCTGTCCTATCCAATAAAGGCAAAAAAAGTTAAAAAAAACAAAAAAACAACAAACATCTATTTAAAAAAAAGAAAAATAACTTTCCTCTGATTTTAATCCGCTTTCAAAACAAATGCTAAGGCCAGCCACATTAAGATCTTTAAAACGCGGTGTATACTACTTCTGTCCACAGGGGGGCACCAAATGAGACAACTTAAATAATTCCTAAAAGGCTTTTTATGACAACGCTTTAGTATCAGGGAAAATGTTACTCAGAATATCATCTTACTGAAAGAATGAAAGATGAGCAATTTTCTTTAATTTAAATTCTATTTGCAATATAAAACAGACAAAATCATTTGTGTTTTAGGTAATCAGTTGTTGAATGTTTTGCATTCAGAACATTTTAATACTACTTGTTTTTTGCCTCTCAGTGCTTCGGTGCAGAGTCCCACACCGCTGTGTGAAGTAAGTTCACACTGATATGGAGAATTATCAGGAGATAAATTGGATTTTAAACATTGCATCAGCACTAATCTAACCCTGCAGCTACTTGGATTACATGTGACAAAATGAGCTCCAGTGCATTTAGTCGAAGTGGACATGCACATCCAGATAGCTACCTTGGTTGAGATAGGTGAGACTCTCCTCCTGCTGTTTTACAGCCGGTGAGGTGGCTGCACACAGAATGCACTGGAACGGCATCCTCTTGGCACCGGTTTCAGCCATAAGCCTGGCTTCTTCGTTTTTCAAGAAGGGTGCCAAAGCCTCTCTGCAAGAGTCCAAGTAGAGAGACGTGGGGCTGAGCGTGGAGGACAATAAAGGTGATTGTTCTTTTATCTAATCATTAAGTCAGATGAACAAAGGTTGATGTTACAAAACACGATGTCACTCATTTAGGTTGCATTGCTCTGAAACAGAAAACAAAGTCTACGTCACAGGTGTAAATATTGATTCTTAATGCTCATTTGAAATCAGTCCTGACGTGTTTTGGAAAATCTTAATTTTAAATGTCAGTTTCATGTGAATTATAAAACACTTTGATGTCTTCAGAGTTACTGCAATTCTGCACATTTAAAACAACAGAAAGAAGCCTCACTGCCTCTACTTCTCTGCACATATTCTTGTGCAGGTAAACATCACTGCTTGGTACTGACACTTTGCAGATTAAGCTTTCCTCTTTGAAAAATGGCTGAAGTGTCTTGACATGTGCTTTACCTAATGTAACTAGCAGAGTGCTGGTGGTAGGACTCAGGCTGGGAATGGCAGAACAGCATTATTTCCAGAGCAGTGTCTTCTTGTATCCCGGAACCACAGGGAGGACGTGGAGACGGACAGAGCTACGTATGTGCCTGCTTGCTTCAGCTCAGAGAGGTTTGCAGCCAGAGTCCGTTGCCTCCCTCTTATATCGCCCCTGTGATGTCACCGGGACAGGCAGGCACACCTCCAGGCACACCTCCCCACTCCCAATGTCCAGCTGGGTTGATGCATTAATAGTAGCTTCTCGTGACCTCTTGTTGACACTGGTAACAATATGGCCCTAAAACAAGACTTCAGGCACACAAAGGTAATCATCTTTGTGGGTAAACTTTGCAGAACAAACACAAGATGGGCTGCTTTTTTTTTTTTTTTTTGGGGGGGGGGGCTTTGAAATGATAGGCTGTGAGATTTATGGCAGCTAAAGTTGCCTTTACAAAGAGGGTTTGCTGTTAAAGAGTACACTACAGGCAGAAACAGTTAAACTCCAAACATCACCTCCTAAGGCCTTTTTTTACTAATAAGTTGATTTAGTTGCGTACAAACCTCTGCAGCTTTTCCCCGATCTTTTTTTTTTTTTTAAACTCCTGGAAAGGACCAGAGATATCTCAGAAAGTCAGGTTAATGTTTACACACAGACGCTTAGCACACCTCAGCGCTCAGATGAGTGGGCTTGTAAACGGATGGACAACTGGGAAATGTTGTTGTCAGTATCCCCCTGGAGGTCACAGAGCAAAGTTCAACATGTAATGGACAGAAAACTAGAGAGACACTAGAGAGCTTTGAGTGGTTGGTGTTTTAGAACCTGGGACATTTGTTTTTGTTACAAACTTCAGGGTCTCTGTAGAGTCACTCATGTTTGGCTTCTGTAAAAAGCAGTGAAACTACAACAGTGTTCAGGCCTTAACCGTATAAAACATGAATGTGGTCTCAGTGACGTCACCCATCGGTTTCTGAAGCAGCGTTGAAGCCGTAGGATGGCAGACGCCATATTGGAAATGCTCAACCGAAGCTTTCAGTCGTACAAGCAAAGAGCTGGAGCCTCCTGGCTAACAGCTTCATTGTCATTTTAATGCCTGGTAACACTGCTGGCTTGTAGGTGGAAGAGCCTTTTTCTGCTGCAATGGTTTGTTAAAAATGAAACTCATGAAGGTACAGGACAAGATCAACAATAAGAGGTGCAGCTTTGCCCACGGGGGGCGCCACAACTGACCTGGTGTGGCTCCTTTGAAATCTGATTGGCCACCCCAATGTGCCAACCCCAGGACTTGTTTTAAAAATCAACTATTTTGGCTTTTTTAGAAAAGGCACACAGGTTTTAATGTTGAACATTTTCTTTTATTTGTACTTTATAAACTGTAGAATGATACCGTGTACATGTAATTCATTAGGTAGGTGCATTAAGAGAGGAACGGGTTCAGCAAAAACTGCACGGGATTGCTGGTAAATGTATTTTTGCATGTTAGACAGTGAACTTGAAACCGTGTGCTTACAGTTTTGAAGTACGTCTTTTCATCTTCTTTTTGAATCCGTCAAGAAGAAAGCTTGCAGGGTGCTGGTGGCACAGTGGTCAGTGTGCGCGCCACATGCATGGAGGCTATAGTCCTCAACACAGGTGGCCCAGGTTCAAATCCAGCATGTCCCTCCCCTCTCTCTCTCCCTAATTTCAAACTCTATCCACTGTCCTACCTCTACATCAAAAGCCCAAAAATAAATATATATATTTTTTTAATAAAGAATGAAGCTTGTAAGACTTAAGCATGCACTATCCACACTGCATCCGCTAAATATTTACTTCTCTGTGAATCTCAGCTTCCTCCTGCAAAATATTAAGACATCATGTGGTGCTTTTGTATTAAAGGATGAGAAACAGATGTGTGGTGATTTGTATTAACGAGCTGTTGACTCGGATCACAACACTCACAGGCTGGTCAATAAACGGCTCGCTGTGAGCTGAATTAAGTTTTTCCTCCGATGTTGAGTCAAGAAAAAAGGCGTACTGTAAGGATTCAAACTGTACTCTGTGTCGCTTGCAGGCAGTTAGGACACAACAGATTCAGGCTGATTTTGTCGCTAGCTCGTGTTGTGTGCTGTAAGGACAGGCTGTTAGATATTTCCACTCTGTTGTATTTAAGTTAAAATGTACACCAGAATATAACATCTGCATGATATTTATTGTAAGATTTGTGGAAATTGAAAAAGTAAATAATCAACATTTATTGTTGTGTGTGTTATTGTCCGGGCTCCGGTCGGCCCCGCTGTCAGAAAAGTCTTCACACGGCCCTGGTGTTGAAGACCTTACAGCCGGTTTCCCTGCTGCTCCTGGAGAATCCAAACCCTGTTGTACTTACTAAACACTCAGACTGAGAAACATGTCAGACCTTTAGCATCGTCTGATTCTTCACCACGATCGAACAACTTGTGGAGTCGATCTGGTTTGGTGATGACGTCAAGAAAGAACAAATGGGAAAAAAAAAACGCACATCAGTTCTTTGTTTATTTCTAGAGCAAACAATTTCTTTACATTGTTGCAAATCTATCACAGGTGGAAGTAAACAAAAGAAAAGTTCTGTACAGTTCATCATAGGAGAACAAATAAAATATATAAATACAGGGTTGAATATTACATGAGCGACTGAGACCAAAAGAAGAAGGACTGTGGAACATGCATAGTGAACAGTTTGCAGGGTTTCCCATCTCTTCGGTTTCCAGGACAACAGAGGCGAGTGATCGGTTTGTTGGCTGAGTGACATGTGTTGTTTTAAAGCCCCGTGTGGATGAACTCTCATGAGGGGGAGAAAACCAGGCGGGTTGAAGGTTTGAAGTGACCAGGAGAAAGAAAAGGGGACGTTTGAGTGCTTACAGGAATCTGTTGCACAGGGCTACATGTTGTGTGTCAGTACCAGTACATCAAATGAAAACATTAATTTCATTAAATAAACCCGACAAAGCCATCCCTATTCCCTTAAACTGTGAGTCTCTCACTGTGTCCGGGCAAAACCAGCTTCATTTCATTATCAACCTCATAACTAATTTAGACGTTTTGGAAAAAAAGAGAGTGAAGAGGGGTCATAATCGCTCCTGACATGAGATTTACTGAACCCACAACCAAATATAAAAGAATAAAAAACAGATTTGTTGGGCGAACTCTTCTTGATCGGGGGAGAGCTTGACTTTGAAGAGAGATCCTCCTGCAGGAAGCAAACATTTTAAAACTTGAAAGGGGGACGCTGCCTTTATAAACTTGACCTCGTTGCTCCGTTCTCTGTGGGCGAAATGGCGTAAAGGTCTAAAAACTTAAAGGACTGCACCTTTCGATTTCTTCAGTTGGCAGCAGTGAAATAACTCAAATTTCTGGGATGTAATGCTCTGGGTCGTTGTAAGAATGTACATCCACAGATATCCATACGTTTTTATTTAACTCTTATTTAGAGATCTCGACGTATTTATCTCGTTCTCTCCGGATAAAAACTCTGGTTTTCCTGTGATGACGACTTTTCTCCAGATCTCGAGAAATCCACTTGTTATCACGGGAAATTCAGCATTATCATCCTGAGATGACGAGATAATTAAGACGAGATGTTGAGAAAACAACTGAAACTCACAAGCGGACTTTTCCTCTCTCTCTTCAAAGCCTCCAGAATCCACTCGTAAAAAAAAACGACTGACCACACAGAGCAAGGGAGGGGGCTTATCTACCTCAGTGTTTTCATATGAAATGCTACGTGTACAACAAATATGGTGTCGTTTCAGAACAAAGCGTTTCAAACATCGCAGCTCATAACAAAAGCAGACTAACAAGTCGAGGCAGCGGTAGATCAGCAGCTCCCATGCTTTGCTAAGTTGAATAAACTGTTCTTGTCAACGGAGTCCGGCAGCTCTGACGAGAGCAACGGAGCGACTACGATCTGATTCCTCTGAGAAGAAAGTTTGATATCTGTTGGAATCTTTTCCAGAGATTGTCAGACACCTTGGTTTTACATCTTCTATCGAGTGCAGTCGTGATTGTGTTGTCAGTCTGTTTCAAAACCGTCGGCTGAAGCAATCTACTGGAGCAATTTTAAAAACTTTTTTTTTACCTTTCAGTCAAAAAGATCCCACATGGGGCCAGCGGTGATGTCCCACGCCCCCATGTACAGAGGCTGTAAATCCTCATCGTAGCAGCCGTGGGATTAAATCGGACCTCGGCCCTTTTCTGCATGTCATCCCCCACTCGCTACTCCCAGCATGTCCTCTCTCTCTTCAGCTGTCCTATCCCATAAAGGAAACCCCCCCCCCAAAAAAAAAAAACCTTAAAAAAGGCTCCAAATTAATTCAAACCAGGGTCCATGATAACAAATAAATGGAATTATTCTTAAAAAATAAAAGGTAAAATCTGTGCCAAGAGGTTTTCTTGAAAGCTTCTTTTCACCAGTTTAAACCTTCAACGTGACACAGGTCACACTTCCTGCTCCGTTCGTACCTTCCACATGTGTGTGTGGCTAAAGGGACAACTGAACTCACCGACTGAAACATTAAATTACAGATGAGTAATCTGATGATGTAACAAGTGCACTTTAACAGCCAAAAAAAACCAAAAAAAAAAAAAAAACCTCAGGGGCACAGAGTTGACACGTGTGCTGCAGGTTTCATGCAAGCTATTTGGGTAACGTGCAAAAAAAGTGAGATGTTCACTTTTCACTCTTCTTTTTTTTTTTTTTAAACAAATTTTTGCGAAGCAGTGGTCTAAAAGTGTATGTACAAAATACCTTTGTTTGTGAGTTCATTGCAGAAGCTGTGGTTACGTGTAGGAGGCCGGAGGAAACGACTAATACTGTGTTTGTATCATCACAGGTCCAGAACACACACACACACACACGCATACACACACACACACGGACAAACACACACGGGCTCCTTCTTCCTGCACATTCACATTTCTTTTAGAGAGCCGACAGTTACAGTACCGTACATGTCATTCACTCTCTGCAGCCCCGGTCAGCAAACATTATCAGTGTGTATGTGAAGTGAATAAGGCCTGGGAATGTCTTTCATGAATGACTTGGATCATGGGTCTCCCTCTCAAATCCACATGTGCAGTATTTACAAGAGACTTCCTCTTCAAGCCGGCGCTCCACTCGAGCAGCAGTCTCAGAGATTTACAGGGTAAGATGCCAAAAACTGGGCAAACCGCAGGCAACAGTTTTTTTTTCCAAAAGCAATCCGAACAAAACAAAAATAGCTGTTCAATAAATCAAAGTATTTTCAGTGTGAAAACACAGGCAATGTAACTTTCCATCAGCTCAGTTTAACATCGTCTGCTACTTCAAAAACCTGCACAGAACTTAAAGGATTGTCAATTCTGTCGCTGGAAATGTATCTTTTGGCAACTTGTTTAATTTAACACTTTCATTAGTGAAGGATTCAATTGGTTGAGCCACCCTGAATTACAAATGAGCTTTAAAAAAAACAAAAAAGCCCTCCACATACAGGCGCCTGAGTCGCTATCCTGATCAATAAAGGGAACTAAATATGCTCTGACATTTTCCAGCGTGATGTTCCCTTACACATCACTTTTTTTTTTTTTTGATTTTTACACTCAAAGAACGAGAATTCATCCCAATCCAGAGGGGCGTATTACCATCACTGGGCCAGCCAAATGACATTTCATGCTAAACTTAAAGTGAAGTTGACAGAAACAACATTCCCTCCTCTAATCTACCAACTCCTGATGATTTTAATTCTGAGGGCACGAGGACAACATTTATGTTTTTTTGAAGAAAGGTGGTGTTCAGGTTGTGGAGGATGAAAAAAAAAAAAAGAAGGCATTTTCTATATCCACATAAACTCCTCCTCCAGATTTTCAAACTGATCCGCAGTTACATTCAAACGTTTCTGGAGCTAAAATGGAGAAGAGGATCCGAAAGACGAACATGTGGCTGAAGGGATCTCCTCGAATCAGGAGGAAAGCGTGAGCGGAGTAAGTTGAGCTCTAGTCATGACGAGGAGGACGAGGAGGAGGGGGAAGCTCAGAGGTCTGAAAGAAGAGCGAGTGGAGATCCATGAACGCTGTCCCTCAGAGTTTCCAGATCACGACTTCCTGGATTAACTGTGGGAGGAGACGTCGGAGGAGCTGCTGCTGTTGCTGTTGGTGGTCTGGGCTCGTTTGATATACAGGTTCAGTAACTTCATCTGCAAAACAAGAAAAACAAACAAACAACAAATGTTAGTCTCTCACTGAGCTGACTCACTTTCTGAAGGTCTCGGTCTCGTCTGGAAATCGAGAGTGTTTTTACTTGTTCTCGCCGTCTCAGACTCCGGATTTTAAATCAAGACCGGTCAGGACCACCACTGAAAGGCTATTTTTTCACGTCATCAATTCATTCATAATTTGATTTTTATCCCCCGGTTACGGCCTTGACTTGGTCCCGATCCCTAAATTTCTTGGTCTTGGTCTTGGTCTTGGTCTTGACTTGATCTCGATCCCTAAATTCTTGGTCTTGGTCTTGGTCTTGACTTGATCTTGGTCTTGGTCTTGGTCTTGGTCTTGATCTCGATCCCTAAATGTCTTGGTCTTGGTCTTGGTCTTGGTCTTGATCTCGATCCCTAAATGTCTTGGTCTTGGTCTTGGTCTTGGTCTTGGTCTTGTCTTGGTCTCGATCTCGATCCCTAAATGTCTTGGTCTTGGTCTTGGTCTTGGTCTTGACTTGATCTCGATCTCTAAATGTCTTGGTCTTGGCTTGATCTCGATCCCTAAATGTCTTGGTCTTGGTCTTGGTCTTGGTCTTGGCTTGATCTCGATCTCTAAATGTCTTGGTCTTGACTTGATCTCGATCCCTAAATTTCTTGGTCTTGGTCTTGGTCTTGACTTGATCTCGATCCCTAAATGTCTTGGTCTTGGTCTTGGTCTTGGTCTTGGTCTTGGTCTTGACTTGATCTCGATCCTAAATGTCTTGGTCTTGGTCTTGGTCTTGATCTCGATCCCTAAATGTCTTGGTCTTGGTCTTGGTCTTGACTTGATCTCGATCTCTAAATGTCTTGGTCTTGGTCTTGGTCTTGGTCTTGGTCTTGGTCTTGATCTCGATCCCTAAATTTCTTGGTCTTGGTCTTGGTCTTGGTCTTGGTCTTGACTTGATCTCGATCCTAAATGTCTTGGTCTTGGTCTTGGTCTTGACTTGATCTCGATCCTAAATGTCTTGGTCTTGGTCTTGGTCTTGACTTGATCTCGATCCCTAAATGTCTTGGTCTTGGTCTTGTCTCTGTCTCGGAGCTCTGGTCTCGGGTAGGTCTTGGTCTTGGTTAGTGTGGTCTTGACTACAACACTACCAGGGTGACTTATATTCTGTTTTTTATGTAACCCATGATGAGACACTTCAACCTATTGGGGTTTCATTACTCTATAAAAACTTTCTCCAACACTTGAACCCTTTAACTTAAAACTCCCCGACTCCAAAACAAAAAAACAAAGCCGTTTGCACAACGCTTATCCTGACTTTTATATTCTTATAGAATTCATCCTATCTGAACTTCACCACTAGCTTTATTTCATGATTATTTGTGTTTAAATGTATGTCAGATCAAGACTTTCTGTAAGTTAAGCATGTGATGGTGCTTCCTTTTGTATCAGAGAGCTTCCTGAGAAGTGAGCACAGCTAGGAGGGGAAAGCTAACGTTCAGCACTCAGCCCTTACACAATCCAAGGACACATATGAGCCTGTACTTCAATAAGTGGACAATCAGTGGAAACCTGTGTGAAAATAACAACATGGGAAGATGATAAGGCTCTGCGTCTGTCGAGGAGATGAGTGTGTATTCAATGAAAGACTTGGTACCTTGCTGCCCGTGAGCTGTGCCAGGTGGGGTTTGAGGTCCTCGCCAATCACCGAGTAGATAGCCACCAAACAGAACACGCTGGCCTTGCGAACGCTGCTCTCTGTGTTGTCATAGCCCTGCGGAGAGACGAGGCAGCATCATGCACGGCGCGCACACACACACACACACACACACACACACACACACACACACACACACACACACACACACACAACACACACACACACACACACACACACACACACACACACACACACACACACACACACACACACACACACACACACACACACACACACACACACACACACACACACACACACACGAGGGGTCAGCGGGAACGGGGGAGGAGTCGCAGAGAGGGCAAAGTACACGCAAACATTTCCAGGGTCAAATAAGGCAAATAATTCCCTGTCCAAATATGCACATTGTCCAAATAAGCAGGTTGAAGCTGAAAAGTCAGAAGTGATTGCTCTGTTCATCCTCAAAAACACTGCTCTTGTGTTACGTAAACCAATCATGTAACATCTGTTATTAGAAACGAAAATGAGACTTATTTCAAATGTATTTTTGTTCCTAACTGTTTCTGTTTCATGCTAAACTGTTTCCAGTTTAGCATCTCTAGCGTCTGCCTTTAGTGCTTTAGCTTTAGTGCTTTAGCTTTAGTGCTTTAGCTGCTTAAAAGAGTCATTTTAGACAACGTTTAAAAGATTGTCACGCTGAAAATAAAATAGAGATGAGGCCACTAATTGGCTTGTTTCTGTATTTTTATATAAGGAAGATTTAACTAAATAAAATTAGAGGTCTTCAAAGAGCCAGAATTCTAATCAATACACTTAAAACATTAACTTCAAATGCTCGTAAAATACTTTTTTCATGTCACGTTGTTCATGTTGTCCATTTCCATGTCCAGGGACAAATAAGGCAAATAATTAGTTATCAGTGTCCAAATATGAGCAATGTCCAAATAAGCAGATTGGAGCCAGGAGGGAGGGTCCTGCTCCTCGTGTCCCCAACAACCCCTTTTTTTATTTAAGCTCTGTTCATTACTGTGAACTGAACTTTTTCAAAAGGGTATTTTCGTTCATGGTCTCTGCGTTTAATCAAAACTGTTGTGTCCACTGATGAAGTGAAGGAAAACTTCGATGTAATTCAATCTGTAGAATCTGAGAATATAACTCTATTTTAAATGTGCAGATTGCCACATCAGACACAGACCTGCAGGAGTCCCGGGATGATGTCGGGCAGCAGCTGCAGTAAGGAGTCCTTGGCAATGCGTTCAATGACTTTGGTTTGCATCTTGATAGCAGCCAGGTTGATGGGGTAGTCAGCCGTCTGCACAATAGGACACAGGACCTTGATGCACTGCTCTGGATGGCTGGAGCCGGCCAGCGTGGAAGCTGCCTCCTCTGCTGCACGCACCACCTGAAGCACATGAACATTCAGATCAAAAAGTCTGGTTCTTCTTTGAAGAGAGCTGTGTAACCCCAAAGACCCAAAGGACGTGCATACTAGAGTTGAGGCGTTCACAGATCATAATCTGTGTGGCGTTAGACGTGCTCTTACTGCTTATGGGACGCAAGTTATTAATTGAAGCAGCATGACCACGTGTTCAGAATTTCATTGGCTGCAAGAATCACCAGGAACTGTTTTTACCAATAAAGAAATAGGTTAGTGGGACTAGAATCATTTCTTAAACAAGGCTGTAAACATAATTATTTATGTGGTAAAAATGGGTGTTCATGGGACTTCTGGAGTTTTTGCAGCCAGCCTCTAGTGGACATTGGAGGAACTGCAGTTTGCACTTCTGCATTGGTTTCATTTTTCAACAATGGAAGTTACTACTTGGTGATGCTACAGTACACATTCTCTAAAACGTATTCTTTAATTGAAGGACCCACAGTTTTGTTCAACCTTTGTGCTTATTTTTTTTTTTTTTAATTCAAGCTTAAAGAATGAATATATAACATTATTAAAGTAGGAGACTCCACAAACAGGATCCAAAGAAAGAACATGGAGCACACAAATCACTTAAGGCAAATGTATTAAGGTGCAAAGGACTAACACTGAGAGTTAAAAAAAACATTCTTATATCACATTATTTATCTATCAAATGATTTTCAGCCATTTACACACACAGAGAATTTCAATCAGCTCTGAAACTCTTGACAACTTTTTGCTCCCTACAGCTTGTTGTTTTGGTTTACCAGCCTCCAGCCTCATTTAACCTGATTAACCCATTGCATGCTAACAATGGCAAAATTGCAGACAGACTTTGATCATAGTGGAGCCTTTATTAACTAAAGAAGCACATGTTTTCCTCAGGAGTTGGTGGAGACTCAAACAGAGTTCACAGAGAGTTGAGGAGGGAATGAATTCAGATGGCAAACATGAGTCCAAATAATCGATAATATTGCTTTGCATTGTTTTGCTACCAAAACATCCCCAATATGTCAGCGTAACACCATGAGCTTCAGAATGCTTTGATGCGGTGGCTGTGTACCTCTTTGTGAGAGTCTTTGTGAGCCTCCAGGGTCTTCATGATGGTGAGCTCGGCATAGTTTTTGAAGCGGGCCGGCTGGTTCCTCAGAATTTCTTTCAGCACACGAAGGGCCAAAGCTCGGATGGTGTGCTGAGGGATACAGAAAATAGTTCGTGCACTTAATACACACAAATATTGACACATGCACGGTGGTAAGCAACATTCAGGACCCTCAGATCACGTACATCTTTATCACCCAGCGTCTCCAGCAGCAGGAGGAGGATGGTTTTAAAGTGTTCGTCCCACACGGCCGTGCTGTCTTCTCGTGTGATCTTCAGCAGCTCCACCAGGGCGCCTTTACGCTCCTCGCAACGCTCGTTGTGATTGGACAGTTCCTTAAGAAGGTCCGCTACCATGTCTGAGTGGTCCTGACCGACTGCTCGCCGAGAGAACAATGAAAGCAACATGTTACACATCAAAAATAAAGCTACTGAAGCCCTGTTATGGCCCCAACAACAATGATTCCATCAATTTAAAAAACGCAACTATTTTAAAATTGAACTTCTAGGAGATAAGAATTCTATTTTAATCAGAGTTGTTCTATTCAGAGGGAAGCTTTGCCCCTTAAAGATGTGCAGCCTGTCTTCGTAAGTCCTGGTTGGTAGATGGTTACTATGTTCAAACCATTTATCAGCTGATCCACTCTCTGAGGTGGCAACAGGGCTAAGGTGGTTGAGATGTAACCTTTGAGGCAAGATACAGCTAAAGGAGGTCTACAGAATAAGGGCTTTTTATTGAACTGTCTAACATGGTTATAGACAGGATCCATACAGAGAGAGACCTAAGAGAAGCATTCAAGACATCTTTACATCATCTTACACAACATTTGATGTGTAACTTCTGCCTTGCTCTTGTTTTGGTTGTTTTGTGTTTAATAGATATTTTGTTGGATCCAAACCCTTTAGTTTAAAACACTTCAGATGCATAGTTAAGACGAGCAAGAGAATCAAAAGAGAGATCAACTCAGCAGAAGATCTGTAACTTCAGCTCTAAGACGTAAAATCATAATCTTTTGTCAATTGACCCTTTGTTGGTTCTCTGATTGGTCCGCTGACTCAATAGTCAGAAAGGATAGCTTTCAGGTGAAGGCGGGGCTTGACAAAGGGCCACTTTCTAGTGAGGGCGGGGCTTGACAAATGGTCATTTGAGTCTGTGTCTTACCGATTAACATCAAGCTAACCTTAACATGACGGTCTATCTCTGCAGGGATCCTTTATGGGTTGTTGTCAGACTCTTTCATAACAATCTGAGCCCAGCGGTTGCAAAAAATAAAGAACTTTAAGTCAGAAAAACGCTGAGTTGATTCACGGAAGCAATTCCAAAAAAGGTTTGTTTTAACACCCAAAATGTGGGGAAAGGGGCCCAGGTACAATCAGACTGGAATACTTCAATAATACTTCTCTACCATCTGTTAAGTGGATAAACAAAAAAGCATGCTATGGACTTCGCTGCTCTGCTACATGTTTAGGTGTTAAAAATATCGAATCATTAAGGATATAACGTTACCTTTTCTGCCACATGTTCTTTATATACAAACTTAGACAACCACCCAAACATTGAGCTTAAACAAGGTTTAATTAATCAAGGTATTAAAGAGCCAGATAGTTCTGCATTAGAGGCAGGATAGATGTGTCTTAGTGAACACACAGTTTACTGGTTAAGAGTTAGAGGACGTTGAAAGAATGGTGAATGGGTTTTAAGAGACGCGAGTGAAAAATGCAAACACACAAAGGGTGAGTGGGATGACAGTTAGTCCAGCAGGAGAGGCACCTTTAACGGGTCCAAAGACCTTGGGGAGCGTCATCTTGTTTTCACCGCTTTCCTGACGTCGGCCTGGAGAGGAGGTGGAGGGGTCGGAGGAGGGATGAAGGTGGAGGTGGGGAGGTGAGGTGAGGGACAGAGGGGAGACAAAAGGGTGCAGAGCAGAAAGGATGTGATGACGGCAACAACAACAAGCGACACACGGGCTGCAGACACACACACTTGTGTTCGTGTGTAAACTGCCTGCAGAGAAAATGCATCCTCTGTGTATGTAGCTCGTGTCAACATGTCACCGAGCATCGATGCAAAGTTAAGCAAACTTAAGTGGAAGCTGAATACAGATACATATCGTCAGTGTTATCATCAGTCTGAAGGAGTTTCTTTGCAAAGTGTCTCCTATATGTTGTCAAAAAAAGACTAAGTTATTGAATTCACAGCAAAAACGCAAATCTTGGCAAGCCAATTTTACAGTAGGATTCCTCCATTCTTAAAGGTCACATATTATACTTCTTTGTCACCAGTGTAAATAAGTCTCAGAGCTCACCAAAACATGTGTGAAGTTTCTTGTTCTAAATCCACTCTGATCCTGTATTTGATCATGTCTATAAACCCCTCTATTTCAGCCCTGCTCAGAACAGGCTGTTTTGTAGCTTTAAATGTAAATGAGCTGTGTCTGACCACGCCCCCTCTCTGGAAGGGCTTGGGTGTCTCGGGCTTTCTCGCTCCATGCCCTATTGTTTACAGTGAGAAGGCAGACTCAGAGGACAGAAGAAAAAAAAAAGCTGTGGGAGTGTCACCCGCCTGGGGGAGGGGTTACCGCCCTTTGTGATGTCATGAAGGGAAAATCTCCAAACAGCCTGTTTGAGCACACTTTTTCTGAAAAGTGGAGCAGGCAAAAGACGGAGAGGATGAACTTTTCTCATTACTGGGGGGTTTGTAGACAGACTGGGGACACATGTTAGTTTTAGAGAAACATGGTGAAGTGGACTTTGCATAATATGTGACCTTTAAGTGTTCACTTGATATCAACCAGTAGCACAATTACAGAGGGATCTCTACCTCTGGCAAATGATCAGAGCAACACATTTAAACTTGAGGAATCACTAGATTAAACAGTCACTTTGTCAATCGGAGTCTCTATTGTCAGACTCTAGCTGCCACTGACGTTATCCCACTATCTAACTTAATCCTCCATCCTGAAAAATAACAGAATAGAAAAGAGTCTAGAAAAGAGTCTAGAAACCTGAAGAAAGTAGGCTGTTGAAGTATTTGATATCTAGGCCTAATGTGTGAGCTCATAAAGGAGTTTGGTGATGCACTAAACTGACAAATAGTGAAAGGTGTTGAACAGCTTGACCCATCAGAACGTCTGAGAGTAATTCATATGAATGTGTGTTCAGGAGGAGAGACACTCTGTGAACTCACAGTCTCTGAACTGCTCCACATCGTCGTCAAACACGGCCTCCTTCAGGGCGCTCTTGTCATACGTGCAGATGGTTTCGCCGTAACCGTAAGGTGCGAATTCCCGACCCCGCGGGCCACAGAACGAGCGGGGCGAAGGCGTGTTGAGCAGTGAGGTCTTGTTGTCCAAGGCGGTGCGACCCCCTTCAACAACGTCCAAGCCCAGGCGGGCGTCTGAGCCGGGAGAGGACGCTACGCCTTCTCGTCCTGCCTGTAGGACAGAGGGTGAAGGTGAGGGAAGGAAGGAAATGAGAAATATGTTATCACGTTGTTGAAAACAGTTTTCCATCCACAGATTTCTCTTATTTGTCCTGAGAGATGTGTGTTCTTGGACCTTTTTTTCTCACCATTGAGCACTTAGTTTCAAAGCTCTCAATGTTGCTTGTACCAAGTCTACCTGACGATACAAAAAGTCTGTACTGAAGTCCAGTCATTTCATACAATATTTCTGAGGTGGAGAAGAGTTAGAGTGTCGGTAGAAAGAAGCTGAATGACAAGATTATAAACAGGATTAACGTTACTTTTATTTCCACAGACAGATGGAAGATTCAGACAGACCAGAGTGAAGTATATGTTCACTAATACGTCACAGACTTGATGTGATTTACTCAAACTGCAAAAAGTCTAATACTTGCTTTAGAAGATATTTGTCTTGCTATTTTTCTGGATTTGCAAAAATGCTTCAAGAAAAAGACAAAAAAATAAAATCACTCACTGCGTCGTCCCTCTTGCCCTCCTGTCTGATCGGCTCATTCAGGTCCTCCTGGCTCCGGTAGCTGAAGCTCTGGATGGCCTCTGTGACGCCACGTAAGGAGCTGTAGATCTCTTCAGAGTTCATGTTCTCAGTGTCGTACTCCATCATACTACCAGACACACAAACACAAACACAGACAGAGACGCACACACAGGAATTACATGACATGAATATATCTGAAGGAGACACACTGTAAATGTGTTACTGTTTGTTTTTTTTTAGTCACCATGCAAAGCACTTTAGCATCGCTGTTGACACACAGAGGTTACTGTTTGGAAAGGAAACGTTTGCATGAAATGAGAACTTATTTCAGTGCTTTTCTTCACCACCACAGCATCAAGCACATGAAACGTGCATGCCCTGTTTGCAAGACTGTTTTTTTTATTCGTATAAATTTTGATAAAGAAAAGGACGGGGGATGGGAGGTCTTGGTTCCTTGAGGACAAAATGCCCTCTGTGTCCCAGTCGGACTCATTACCTTGGTGAATATGCTCTGCGCAGGACCCTTAAGGAGGGGGCAGCAGGGGTGGAGTGGGGCTGAGGAGGAGGAGGAGGAGGGGCAGGAGGGTGCTTTGAAAGTCCGTCGACACCCCAACCCCATAACCGACTGTTGCCACAGCAGCGCAGCCGGAGAGGAGGGAAGGATGGACAGACAGGAGTGAGAGAGGAGGAGGGGGAAAATCAAGAAGAAGTGAAGAGCACAAGGCGAGACAAAGGGAGGGAGGGAGGAGGTGAATAAACAAACAAATGTGCAGAAGGAGAAAAGAGAAAAAGAAACTAGTCTGAGCCATTAGGTAAAGGGAAAGTGTTAATACAGAGGAAAGCGTAAGAAAGTGACAGAATCCCACAAAGTCAGCCTCTCCTCCATCTCGACTGAGGAGCCGTCTTCAACACATTTTGACCACAAAGTCGTCAATAATAAGTTCAACTGTGGGTTTCTGCTCGCAGGTTAAAGGCATGCACAGTGACTGCGGGGTGAAGGAGCTGCTCAGTAAGAGAGAGTACGAGTTCATTGTGTTTCTTAACTTTGGCCACCACTTTGCAGAATAGATGGTTTAGATCTCGCCACAACGCCATGAATGCATCGTAATACCGCTGTATTTTATGCGCCAGTCTGTGTAGAAAGTTTTTTCTATGAGATTTGATGGATTGATGGAAGTTGATGATGGAAGTTGTTTTTTTTTTTTACCCAAATGTCTCAGAGCAGCTCGTTCAGTATCATGCTCCTACCACCCCACCTGTGAGGTTTTGTGTTAGTTTAATGACTCGATTAATGACCGGACGCGACAGCAGCAATAATAGCAATAATAAGGATTCACTACCTTGGAGATAGTCCTCCGTGGGAACAATTTGTCGGAGAGGTGAGGGGGCTGGTTCTGCTGGGGGTGTGACGTGAAGGCGTCCGACCAATGGTGTTGCTCGGAGATCCCTAAAAGACAAGTCAACAGTGAGTGATTTGAAAGGCAGCAAGCGGGGTCTGATAGTTCCACATCTCAACTTTCTGTTTCCCTTCGACTCACCACGCTGCTGCTGCTGGTGTTGCTGGAGTTCTTCAGGTGGTTGTGCAGCAGTTTGGTGGCTCCGTCCTGGAAGGTTTTAGGCAGAGCGCCCAGCAGCATGGTGAACTCCGGGGTGTTGAGCTCGAACAAAGAGATCAGAACCACCTGAGCCGCCTGGAGATGGTGGAGAGCAACATGTTAGGATGGAGAACACAGCAACAAATAAAATGGTTTCCTCAGTTCCAGAAGTGACTTCACCATGTGTTAAGTACAACACTTATCCCAACACTGAGTCAGAGGAGCTGCGCCAATATTTTCAAAGATTTATGTTTATATATATTTTTTAAGAAGGAAGAATGTGCGACTTTTTGATCCAGTAGATGTCGCCCTTGAGCACCAGCATGAAACCAAAACAAACTGATGTTTGGCCACACCTCCTCCAATCTGAAGCCTCCGCTCTCCTCCAGAGACACACCTCCAACCCCCCTCCATCGCATTCACATGAAGGAGTTAAGCGCAAGCGGCTGACAAAATTGTCGTTGTCTCGAGCTGCAATCACCTGTGTCCTGCATTGCTGTGTAAGCATGCTAATGTTAGCGCTCTTTCATTAGCTTGTAGCTTCACATTGCATGCACATTTACACAGAATGACCGCGATCTAAACACTCTAACATGACGTCCAAATAAGCAGAGTACATTTTTCTGCTTCTCTCTAGTCGTTGACTAAAACAGCTTTTATACACAGAGGGAGGAGCCGGCCGTCCCGTCCATGTAAACACGGCTCTGACAACAACACAGCCAGCGGGACTCGACTTCTCACTCATTGTAGACAGTCATGACTCAGAGAGACATTTAGTATATTTGATTACTGCTTTATTTATGTATAAAATGTCGCACATTCTTCCTTTAAGGCTGTGCCTGAATGATGAACCATATTAAAGGTTGCCTCTTCGAAAGGTTACAACAGGTCAAATCTATTCTGAAACCATGGAAACCAACATTTGTCTTGGCCATTGAATGGATGCATCAGCCTGTAGAAAGAAACAAAGGTGAGTCTTTAAAGCTGCATTCAGTGAAAAAAAAAACGTATGAAGTATCAAAGAATGAAAGAACACTGTTGCTTTAAATGTTTCTACATGCAAGTGAGTACAGATCAAACTTGAAGAGAAAGTTGTTGGGCACAGAACCAGAAACGATATGAATGTTCGACTTCCGTTTGCATCTGAAGGAACATAATTGATTTGTGGTTTGTTGTTGCTTTGTTTAATCCACAGTTTACATAAACAGCTGATGTCCCACTTCTTTTGTCTTTTTCCTAAACTTTATTTAGACATATCTGGAGGTTGACAATCTCTAAGTAGTTACCATGCAGGTGGATGACATGTTGTTAAAGTGCGTTAGACATACACAATGTGTTAGGCACACAGAAATGAAACGGCATTCCTACCAATGTTGGGTAGTAAACTTGGCTTAAAAAAAAAATCCACATCCATACATACTGTAGCATCAAGCATGTGGGGTCATTTAAAGGCTATATCCAAATCTTTCCTAGAAGCAAAACAAGCTCGATGTGTGTGGACAGTGAGTGCAAGGCAGGGACGGATTTGAGGTTATTACAGCATAACAATCGAGAGCGTAAATACAGAGGTGAGTGAAAGATGCCACACTCCAGGTGTCACTGTCTTGCAGGTGTTGGTTAGGCTCCAGGCAGTCGGGGCGTTGCGTGCTTTTTTTGTGTAGTATTCAGCTGTCGGGGGCGGGCTCTATACCTGCTTACACCTGTCTTCCTGGTTGCCTTCAGCAGACAGTAAGGCAGCAGAACTGGACCTGCCAGCTAGCTCCTCGCTCACCCAGTTATGAAGGGTCTGGGGTACATGGCGGGGCAGAGGCAGGGCATGGGCATTACTGCAGGTTACAGTTCCTCTATCAACACTTGAGAGAGGCCATACTGAACTCCAGAGTTAACACATGTTCATGAACCAAATTCAACAGTTACTTGTGCCTGAAGATTTATTTTCCTGACCATTATAAGGAAATTTGCAAAGGAACACTTCAAAAGAACACCAGTGTACCATCAAGATTGATACCTTGACATTTGATACCAATGGTGTGTTCCATTTAGTTCGGATCTCGGAGCTGCTAATAAAGTCACACACCCGAAAGTCGGACAAGCAACAGAAATGCCTTCGGAGAACCTTTGCTTTGTTTAGCTAATACCTGACGATAACAACACACGACGTGGCTGTTTACGCAGCTGTTTAAAATAAAGATTTGTTGTTTTTTTTTTCTTTCATTTACTTAAACCGTGAAGATTCAAAAGGCAAAGTTAAGCACAAAAACGTTCATCATATGTTTGAGGTTTGGTCATATCAAAGAGAATCCCAATGGTAATGTTTTGCAGCAGGAAAAAGACATGACGGCCTACAGTACCTTCCTGACATCTGAACTTTTGGGCTCTGTGGTCCAGGTGATGATCCGTGACACGGCCAGTCGAGTCTCGCTGGAGTTGACGAAGTCCGTCGGGTCCATCTGGCGAGCCAGGGACTCGATGTACTTCAAAATGGCCACCTTTACCTAAAGCAAGACCACACATATAGTCAGACATATTTATCAAGGTCACAGCAGTGACATTCAATAATCCGGATCATCTTCTTCACAAGAGACATCCAGCCTCTGCTCGACTTACCTTGAGATTCGGTGTCTGAGTCTGATCCACGATAAACCTCATCAGAATGTTGAACTGTTGGTCAAATGGGAAAGACTCCCTAAAAAGGTGAAGAAATAAAAGTTGTTTGATATTAGACAGGAGTATTATTTCACAGGTTTTTAGAAAACAAGCTGGAGCAGGATTAAAGTATTCACTGGTTTGATTATTTATTCTCTTAGCCTCAGCCGTTGTATCAAACAGTACAGAGACGGGATAAGTGTGTAACAAGTTACTGTGTAATTTTACATTTACATTATTGTATTTTTTACATTATTGTATTTTCTTTATTTAAATGATGTAAATATGTTTGATCTGTTTTTAACTTCTATTTTTATTTTTTATAAGTATATTCCCGTCCCCTGTTTTCTGGAGCTGCTGTAATGCACAAATTTCCCCCACGGGGGATCAATAAAGTTTATCTTTATCTATCTTTATCTTTACAGCAAACCGCTGCAAAACTAACATTATAAGCAGTAGGCAGGGAGATTTGTGGACATTGGAGAGACAGTTTTCTCCCTGTTGAAAGTTGTTGTTCTATGAGGTCCACTTTGAAACGACTATTTTAAGGTGGAAAAGTTACATATTAATGCTTTAAAATTGGACGTGTCTCACACCATAAGACAGACTTAAATCAAAAGTCTCCTCTGATCTCTAAAAAGATTTTAAAATAATAGCAAATCATTAACTATAAGAAAGAAAGTTTAGATTACTGTGTGCGCCTGTGTCATTTGATTCAAATTGGTTGATTTGCTTTGATTGTTGAACATAAACTGAGGGACATAAAAGCTCAAAGAAAGGAATCTATCCGTCCAAATATGAAACTGATGGAAAAACACTACAGATAACCTTCATGATTAATCAGAAAACTAATTTCCAATAGTGTGAAATGTGTCCTTATCCACTGGAAATGCACAACAGCCACTCGTCTCTGCTAACCCCTCACTGTGCCCTTTACATGCTATGCAGGTCTCGCATTTCAGACCTTGTGATATCCAGGGCCTTCTGGACTTTGGCCTGGACTGAGCCCAGCAGGTCTGCCCCCATCTTCTTGAGCAGCTGAGTGAGCAGGACAAAGAGCCAGTCCTGCAGGTCCTCCCTGTGCACCGTGACAAAGTCCACCAGAGTCTCCAGAAACATGCTGAACACCTGAGAACATGTGAACAGCTTTAATGTTTAATACACACAACACTCGTTGATTTGACTTCACTGAGATGAAACTGATCATGTTCAGTCAGTGTCAGGTTCATGTATGTGCAGTAGTACTTGTATGAATAAGAACACTTACTCGCTGTTGTTAAATCCACAGCAAGGCAGACCATGCAACAAAAGACACTCTGTTAGTTTCAAGTAACGGATCCATCATTTAAATTTGTGCATACCATGCTTTGCTTTCATAATTAGTGGTCAAGCATGAATAAAACAATACACCTTCATTACCTTGCTGTGTGGATCTGCAAACATCCTGGTAAAGATTTCACAAAGTCTCTTCAGCTCCACTCGGCTGCAGAAAACAGAAAACACAAATTAAAGTGAAGTGAAGCAACGCAGAGTTTGCAAAATACGTCACATTCCTCCATCCATTATTTATTAATACAGCTTTTCCAGTTCTTGGTCGAGGCGAGCTGGAGACGATTCCAGCTGTACTCGGGCGAATCAGGCAGGATACCCCCAGGACTGATCGCCAGTCAATCACAGCGCTGACATACAGAGACAGTCAACCTAACAGCATGTCTTTGGACTGTGGGAGGAAGCCAGAATACCCGGAGAGAACCCACACATGCACAGGGAGAACATGAAAACTCCACACAGAGAGACTCCTGCCCATTAGAACCTGGAACCTCCTCGCTGTCGGGTGCATTGGCAGTGACCTATAACATAGTATCTGCACCTAACAATCCCCTTTCTGATGTTTCCCAACACAAACTCCATCCTTGTTTTACAACAACTTGCTAGCAGAACTGTACAAAGTATTTGCTGAAAGCCCTTCAGAGTTTACGGCTAGTTAGAGTAAAAGCCCCCGAAAAGTTGCCTATACTGCTTCCAGACGCTTTAATGTTTTCAGATGACAGCGGAGCGGATCCAAGATTTGAAATTAGGTGATGCAAAATTTTCCCTTGGTTGCAAATTGCAGACAAGCAAACTGTTTTATTTGGTTGTAGAGAGAAGACAGTAATAGCCATTGGCAATCTAGGATCAAATTCAACATATTCATTTGACCCTGTTCGACCAATCCCACCTCAGTATTCTTTGGCTCTTGAGGAGATTCTGCAGGCCCAGCAGGCCCTCCTTCCTCTCTGACCAGTTGGAGCTGGCGCAGTGGTTCAGGATCTCCGCCACATCCTCCGTCTGGCGGAGGTAATGAGGGATGCCTCCGTTCCTGGAGCTATACGAGCGCTCTGAGCAGGCACTCGACGCATCGCTGTTGGCATCGTCGTCAGAGTACATCCCCGGTGACTCGTACCTCCGCCTCAACGGCTTCCTCTGTTGGAAAAAAAAAAGGACATGATGTTGGGTCACACAGAATAATATTTAAATGCTTCTCTATGTTTTGGTTGAAATGTGCTTCTGTAAATAAAGTCAGCCATGAGTTAAGATTCTCGGCAGGTTCAAGGTTGCCAGTTGCATCAAGTAGCCATGCAGCTCTCTGTGCCTTTATGTGAAATGTACGTTTCCTGTTTTGTTCTATGCGTGTTACTTTAACAGGATAGTCCCCTATTTCTAAACATGAACCTTAATTTTAAACATTAAGGGTTTTAAAGACCAAAAAGAGACAAACACTTTGGGAACAGCCCAGTAAAAGGGCTGTCATGTAATCCTTGGGGGGAAAATGTGCTTCATTCACCCACTGATGTCGTTTATTGTAAATGTCTCACATCAGGACTGAGAGGATCCCTTCAGAAACAGACTTTTTAATCTGAAGAATGAGATGCTTTTTGGGGATGGAGACATTTGTTTTATTGCTCTCTTCAAAGCCTCCAGACTTCAAAAACATGAAATAGGAGGAAGCATGGAAGCAGCGGTAGACCTGCAACCCCCCCTCATTCTACATGCCGATTTTATTCAATGGAGTCTGGTGGCTTTAAAAGGAAAATGCGTCAACTGCTTTTCTGTTTATTGATATTTTCTGTAACGTTATGAGACACTTTCTGTACTCTAGGCTGTCAGAGGTAAAAAAAACAACAAAAAAAAAACAACAGCCTACACACTTTGAGCTGGGGATTTTGCATGTAGCTAAATGCTAAATTAAATGCCTGTGCCCTTTCCGCTGGCTGAAGCAATCTCATGGCTCCATTTTTAAAATTATACAAGTTATTCATACTGAGGAGGATATAAAAGAGGGCCCAGGTCAAAAACGACTCAACTTCCCCTTAAGGGTTTAGGGGTAAACATTTTTTTAAACCTAGATTTTTGGGCCTTTTGTTCTTCATTTGAGAGGACAGCTGAAGAGAAACAGGATATGTTGACATTCAACAAAGGGCAAAGGTCAGATTCGAACCCATGGACACTGTGACGAGAACTACAGCCTCTGTACATGGGGTGCACAACTTAACCGCTAGGCTATCCATTAGGGGTAAAGTTGATGGATCATCAGTTGTGGTGTGCAGAAAATAAGAACAACTTTTTTTTGTCTGTTTGTTTTAAAAGAAGATCCAAAGCCAGTCAGGCTGCGCCACGATGAAGCAAAGTCTTGATTACGGATGCAGTGCAGCGGGGGACATTTCAAACAGTTGAGAATATGAAATCATGTGAAGGAAATAAACAGATGTGTGCCGAGATAATGGCATTCAAACCAGCATATCACAATGGGAAGAGAGGAGCAGCAACAACGGGGATGCAATGGACAAACATTCAAGGTCAAATCAAATCAAAAATATATAAATTAAGAAAAACAGGTTGGAGTGGAGGGGTGCTGTGAGCCAAAATAAATGTTTGATTTTGAACTTGATTAGTGCGTGACGGCATGGATACACAAAGAGAAAGGTAAAATGACAAACTACCTTATTCCTGGAGTCTCCTAAAAGCTGAAATGGTAACAAACAACCAAGAGGGAAAGAGGAGAGAGGGCAGGTTTAAAGGGGGGCACAAAGAACAAGCACAGTCCTTCTGGGTGTTTAAAAAAAGGACAAAACAAGACAACTAATATCTGAACTCATCTCTGGGAAAGGTTAATAAATCCTCCTTCAGAAGTTCAGTAAAGAGGAACACAGGGATATCTGGACATGAGCATTTAGCATTCAAACCTTTTAATCTACAAACATCTTTATTTTCTAACACAGCACCTCTTAACTGACAAAGGTCGACCACAGTTCGCTTCCTCAGGAGTCAAAACAACAAACCAAACTGTGTGTAAAGGTGAGATGACACCGGACTAACACGGTGCCTTTCTTTGCCTCCTTAAAGGCACGGTTGGTCATTTTCGAAAACTAGCATTCCCTCAGTGCTCCATCTCCTTGCGGCTGATTTACCCACAATCCTTTCACATCAACACGTCTCCTCTGAAGGCAAACATTTAACAGCTACTTACCAAAGCATCAGCTACAGCTGCCTCCACCTCTGTGCCCGTGTTTAGGACCCTCATGGCGTTAACTGACGCAGAGATTCTTGCTTGGTGAATCAAACCATATCGGTCTAGAGAGGAAGCAGGGAGAGAAAAACGCAGAAGAAGATGGTGAGAAGGGCTGGGAGTGTTTGGGTGTCTCACAATTCAGTTTTGGTTCTCAGGGTTAGTTTGATTCAGGATCTGTTTTTGATTCAAAACGATTCTGGATTCTTGATTCAAAGTCTATTTATGAATGAGTACATACTCATTCATCTGTGAGACTGGCTGAATTTCTTGATGCTTCATTTGTCACTCTACTGAGTTAAAGAGCTAGACTTAGCACTTAACAGGGAGTGATGGTTTGGCACAAAAATAAAAATAAATTTTTGGAATTCATGAAACTATTTAAAATCTCAAGATAAAAATCTTGATTTTTACATAAATCTATTTTTTCCCACCTCTACTGGTGAGTGATGATTTCAAATTAAGTGTAAGTGCTCGCCGTCACTTACCTGAACAGACAAAAGCAAGTATTTTGAACACATTTAAATATTGAGAAATCAAATAGAAGTGATTGAAATGAAAAGATCACCAGAGGGGAACACTGTCAAGTCTCCAACCACCAAAAGCTGAATGAGAAAAACGTTATAAAAGAAAGCCCTGAATGGAGGATGACCACGAGGAGGCGCAGGCAGAGATGAAGACTGGAGAGCACCAACAAAGCACCAAAGAGAAAACCCACAAATATACACTTAAATATAAAAAAAAATACAAAAAAAGGCACTTTTCACAAAGTTCAAAAGAGGACACGTTGCAAATGAAAACATTAAAGCTACGCCGAGTCGTAGGTCACGATTCCAAACAATACACAGCTACAATAAATTAAAAAAGTATGAATAAGGCACTGGAGATGCAAAATGGAGATGAATGGAGAAGCAGATGACGACAAGACGTTTCACTAAACATGCTAAAGAAATACGACCGCTTCTTACCTTTACTGTTTTCTAAAAAAAATAAAATAAAGCTTCTCATAAAAACTCTGACTGGAACATGACTGAATGAAAACTGCCAGCGGTTACATCACTAAACACAATGACTCATGCTGGTTCAAATTAAACACTGCCTCTAAGATGAGGATTTTTATTTTTTAGGTGGAGGGGGGGGGCGGCTAGAAGGGCTGGGAGGGTTGGGCGGTTTTGGGGCATGCAGGTCACCTGACTGGCCGTGGGGGTCGGCTGTGGAGAGAGCGCTGGTTGAACGGGAGTGACGTCGGGAGGCTGCAGGGGACAGGAGAGGTAGGCGACATCCAGAACAGGGGGAGGGGTTAGTGACACACTCCAGGTGTAACAGCAGCCTCCGAGGTCAGACTCAGGAGCCACATTTACACCGCTGCACTCACCATCAGTTAAAACTCTGATTTTATCATATTTGGAGTCAGCTACATCTACGTGCAACAATTGGATATTAAGTGTCAGGATGTTTAAATGTAATCTGATAACGTTTTATATGTTGGATAGAATAAGTCCCATACAAAACTCCTCTGATAGCTTTCAAAATCAAACACAAACATTAACTTTCATGTATAACTTTGTCTAAATTACAAAGTCAAAAGTAGCTACAGCTGTGTCTCTAAGCGCCTGATAGCGAGATATGTACAGTCCATGCCTCAGGAAGTGTAAACTGTGCCCTCGGATTTCAACAAAGTCTGTGAGGACAGATGTGAAATGTGTTCTGTGCACACAGATTTGTAAACTTTGAGCACGGTGTCATATACTGTGCACACAGTTTACAAATCTGTGTGCACAGAACAGTTTTGAAATGTGATTTATAAACTGTGAGCACGGATCTGCAAACGGCTTTTTATTTTATTCTTTCCTGAGCCTCAAAGTGAAGCCTATTCAAACCAATGTTGCGTTGAACGAAAGGACCATAAATGAAGCTGATTATCAGATCCAATAACAGTATAACAGGGACATAACCTGCATTCAATACAACCATCTTTCTCTTCATACAAATAAGAAATACTTGTTAGATTCAACAATGAGCAGCCATCAGTCTGTGACTCTGTAGGAGCAATCTGATCAATTCACGTTCAAGTCTGAAGAGTTAAAAATCTAACAGGTAGCTTTACTATGCTATGCCAACAGCTCCGAGGGTCCCTAAGCTCGGCTCTAAAGCACTAATATGCAAAGTTTAGACATTTCTCCTTGAAAATCCTTGAAGGTGAAAAGTTTCAGGATATCAAACTTTCCAGGATACCAAAAACACATGAAGTGAGTCAGCTGCTGCAGCTCTTTAATGAAGTGCTGGTTCACTAAATACTGACTGCCATGACTGTTTCAGATTTATCCTTTTTGTCTTTTTCGCAAAATGTAATGATACACTTATCATACAGGACAGTTAGACCTAAAATCAAACACATGAATCCAGATTTAATCAGTACAAAATAAAGGCGGTACATTTAAAGATGGAACTTTCTCATTTATACCATCATTTAGAAAAAAGTATGTAAAATGTAAATTTAGTAACATCCCCCATAAAGAACATTTAACACCAGAAAGACTCAGTTAGTGCATGCACAGGCAGAAGAAGAACAGCCAGAGGACCCTATAACAGGCCGCCTACAAAGGGGGCGAGGCAAAGACTGCCCGGCTAGGACGCTCACTGGGCAGATATCCGGACAGCTGTTAGGTCAGCATTACTCACCCAGAGGAGTGAAGCCCCGAGCGGGGCTGGTGTCGCGGCTGCTCTCGCGACTGGTGTCGCGACTGCAGCCCTGACTCATGCTGGGACGGGGAATACGGCTCCGGGCTAGCGTGCGGTAGGGAAGAGCAGCAGGAAGAAGAGCTTTACCACACAGGCTGGCTGTCAGGACAACAAGTTAGGTGGGAACGTCAGTGTGCATTCATGGAGGAGCATGGGTCAGAGGTGAGGGGAGACAGGGGGAAGAGAGGAAGAGGTCATAGGAGAAGAAGATTGAGAGAGAAATCCCTGCAGAACGTCCTGAATCTCAGGGATGCTAAATTCATCACAAACTCTTAACCTACTTATGGTCATTTTAAAACGAGGGAAGAATTTAGGGGAAAGGCTTTTGGATTGATGAAATCATTGCATGTTTCATGGCGTTTTGTGGAATATTTGATGAAACATTTACTGCATCTATTTGACTCCCTGAGCTTCTGGAAGTCGAAACAGAAAATGTGCAGCTTTGTTCTTTATGGCTGAACTTTATACATCTTATTTTATTTGATTCTACTGAAGCCTATCTTCTCTGAAAGGGTTCTTGGAGATCTTTAGCAGTGTCTGTGACACATTCCTCGGCAGCCAACCCTTTTTACAATCATGTTCATGGAGGTATGACACGGGACATTACATGTGTAATGACAATGCGTTTAAAGCTTAATGTATTTTGTAAATCAAAGCTAACATGCTAAACACTGATGTCTCCTCCTTTGCTCTGATTGCTCACAAAGTCGTATTCTAACGTTGAATGTTACACAGACTTTGATCAATACAAATGCCGACTGAACTTTTGATTGCATTCTGGAGTTTAACGCACATGATGAGAATATTTCCTGGTGGCAGTTTTTTTCTAAAATTAGAACGAGAAATTGTGATCTATCTCCTTGCCTACAGAGTCGCAATATGTCAATATCTTAAATAGTAAAGGCCTTTGCACACTGAGTCAGTTTTCAGAGTCAATGTGCAAACATGATCGACATAACATGAGATCGTATTTATTTTTTAATGTGCGTCAATTTCAGACGAAAAAAATGGACTCATTGTTCAACGGCCCTTACTCCTGTAGAGTGATGCAGATTTTGTCGGATCTGTTGAGGTCAAAATCTAAAGGAGACTGAGATGAACAGGATGGAAAAGAGAGCGAGGAGAAATAGAGTAAAACAGAGAGAGGCAGTAGCAGAATCAAGTGTGAGTGAGTGAATGAGTGGGTCAAACAGCATACTGCTAGTAAAGGTTAGAAAGAGCAGCTCACGTCATCATGATTAGTTACAGAACATGTCAGGTTCTTTACATTCAGAGAAAGAAACATCAGACTGTGTTGAATACAGTAGAATCAGACATGATCAACTCCACCCTGTAAACAAACAACAACATCGTTTACACACCACAGACTGTAAACAAGAAGGGCTCTCAAGGTTTAAAAAGTAACGCTATGCCATGCATTCTTTCCGATGGCCAGTAGGGGGCGACTCCGGTTGTTGCAAAAAGCTCTGTAGACGACTCCTTAAATGTTTCTTATTGGAATAACAGCAGCAGAGGAATAAGAAAGGAAACGCAACAAAGACTGACGGTGAACTTTCTGTAACCGTGAGTGTCTGCTTCAAACTGTTCTAACATGCCGATACCGACCTGAGTGATCGTCGTTTAATCGGTAAGTTATTTGTGTGGTTTGATAAGCTTAAGGGGCGTGATGTCAACTTTGCAGCTTCACTAGCCAGCGCAATACTTTAACGTCATCTCTGGGGCTAGTTTGGCTCATTTTTGCACCCTGGAAGGTTTAGGGAAAAATGGATCCATATTCATACAGTCAATGTGCGTGTGTTATTCTTGTAATTGTTAGTTCCAGGATCCACAAAAACAAGATGGCTACTGCCAAAACAGGTGTCAACAAATCTATCGGTGATAAAGAAAGCCATCTAAATGTATGTGTCACCATTTTCAAGGCAAGGGGGCCCATTGGTTGATGAGTGAAATGACCCGGGGCGTGCAAAGAGAGGAAGGAAAGGCTGAAAAGTAACTCGTTTACAAGAAGACTGAACATTAATTGAAGCGGATCACCTCAAGGTAATGTCTTCAAATTTAATAAATGCCACATGAGTGAAGTCGTGACAACATTGAGATCTGCATCAGATCAAAGTGAAACCTTGATCTATAGTTTACACGTCTTGCACAGAAATGGTGTGAAAAGCTGGGTCATCTAAATCCTCATGGAGGGTAGAAAAAGCGTTCAATACCAAAGAACACAGGAACATGTTACATCAAAAAAACAGTTTGATGGTACGATAAAGTGGAGCTGTACTTCAAAGAATCAAACGTGGAGTTTTTTGATATTTTAGTTTCGATGGTGTGCATCACGATCAAGATGTAAGTTTAAAAATAGAAATTGAACTTTGATGCACAACAATTGTACCATTATGTTTGAGCCATTGTGTTGCACTTTGGAGATATTAAGTCACAAATGCTTCAGTTAAATTATAATAATATACAAACGTTACATTTTCTGACCTTAGGAGTTCAAAATGGGACCAAAAAGTTGTGATTGAAACTTTTTTTTCCATCATGAAACAAGCTATCAGCATTACCTGTTTTTGATATTTCCCTAAATGATGTGTGTAAATGATTCGACGACTGTTTGTCCTGCATCACAAAGCAGCAGAGAGACTCGTGCCCAACAAGTCAAAGGAAGTGACCTTTTGAGTCAACCATGCTCAAACATCAAGGATTGATTAAAATGCTTTAAAACCTTTGATAGAGACTCAGAAGCATCCATCAGAAATGGTGCAAAGGACGAGTTAGGTGTGGCCTGAACTAGAACAGCGTGTAACTGAAGTAGAGATCTTGCATAAAAAAAGTGTGTGTGGGAGTCCTGGTCTTACCGAGGCCCAGTCGGCTGGGGCTGGTCTCACGGCTGCAGCCCTGGCTGCGAGGGATTCTGCTGCGTTTGTCCAATGGTGTGTTGGCGGCTGACACCGTAGCTCGAGGGATCCGGCCGTAGCTGCCGTGACCGAGCAGCTTTCCTGGAGAGCTGGAGCGACTGCCAGCTGTTGGCAGAGAGAAGAAAAAACACAAAAACATGAAGAATGGTTCGTAAATATTCAAGGAGAAAGTGGCTTGTATCATAAAGGAGAGGTGAGACCTTTAAAACATGCTTGGAGTATAAGTCGGTTTGACCCATGGCTGTGGGGAACGGTGCTGTAACATATAGGCATCATACCATTCTGTATGGTAGGCTTCTATTTGTATTTATCTAATTGCCAATTTCCACATACTCCATGCACGAGGTCTTTGAGCACGAAGGTTATGCTCCACCGGAGTGTGCCCTGCCCGCTGGGACCATTTCTGGAGTGTGAGCACAGCCATGAGCGGCTGAACACACATCACAGCAAGAACTACAAGATCAGGCGAGAAAAACATGTTGCTTTGTCTTTCTGAGGTCGCTCTGTTTGGTTCCTTTTTGGACGTTATGTTGATCAAATTATGGAAAATACGATCGTGAGTCCTTTAACTGTGTTTCATTGTGGAAATTGGCCGGACGCTCTGTGCTTTTCCTCGTCTGACTTCCTGTCCGTGTCGTTCTATTCTGTCCAGCTTGATGGTGCTTGCAGCAAGCTCAGTCGAAAACAGACACGCAGCGGGAGCTTTGACTTGAGTGGCAGTGAACGGCGGCGTAATGCTCGGTGCTGACGGGCACTCATACAGAGTATGTGGTAATTGGCGGTCAGTGTGAAGTATAAACGTGGTTTCATTTTTTATGCATTTGTTTGTAGTTGAAGGTGAATGAATAATCTTCTAGTACCATCAGAAATCGGGGCGCCAAGGAAAGTAAAGAGGACTTCTGGTATATTTGAACTAAGTTGTTATTTTCTCCATATTTATTGAGGGGTTTGCATGACTGTGTCAAAAAAAGTTTTGAATTTGTTTCAGTGTATTTAGATGGACAGAGAAACAGCCACCTGGGAGTGAAGCCAGAATATTTAGAGCTCCCCCTGCTGACTGGCTGCAGTATAGGTCATAAACCCACCTCCTCCATGTCAGCAGATTGTACATGGGCATTACCGGTAACGAAAAAGTTAAAACACACGTCAGAGACAGTTTTGCCCAATGAGGTAGTTATTATGCTGATTTATGTGTTAATTCCTTATGAGTCATTTTTTAAATTAGTTATATGAGCAGGTGTAACGTTGGAGACAGCTCCAAAACTTTTTGTACACATTAGTCACTCAGACCCCAAAAAATAAAAAAAGACCAGGAAGCTAAACGCCCCTCTAAGAAGGAGTCTGAATTAACAAATACAGATGTTGCACACACAGGTGAGGCGGGGCTGGATTGATATTCTACTTAATGTGCTTTGGGGAGACATTAACAGTGCCACAAGTTACAAATAAAAACATCACAAAGGCTGTGAAACAACAGTGACAACAAAGACAAAAACAACAAAATGGCTCACAGTAAACTCCAGACGGCTTCCCAAACTGTGGAGGGAACTAACATTTCAAAAACAAAGACTGTGACGAGAGGAGCATGCTGCTACTGTACGTGGTGAAACAATTACAAAAGAGCTAAGGGGGTGGGACGGCGTGCAAATCTCTGTGTGCTAGAGGGGGGCGGTGCTTAAAGATGGGGCGTCTTGCTTGTGGATTGGATGAGGCTGAGGCCTTACCACTGATGGGATTGGCTGATCTGGATCCTGGGTGATGGAAGCAATAGGCAGGATAGGATGGAGAACAGTCAAAATGAGACAGAAGGGGGTTACTGATTATACCCAGCATGCACTCTGGACAGCTGTAGCAGTGTGTTGATCACTCTCCAGAATATAGAGACATGAGCACACACACTTTGTATACTTAGAACACAAACACTCATAGTGTGCATGCATGTCGGCACACCTGCACAAATACACAAGATTTGTGAGTGACTACGTTTTCTTCAGGGAGATGAGAAACATTGCATACATAAACATCTCGTATGATCTCGGAGCTGTTGCAGAAAGATCATACTGAAATATGAAAGGAAGAGATTGGTGTGCGAACAAATCGTTTAATGCTACGTGTTTTTATTTCAATTCAGATATAGGCAAGTGTTGGTTGTTTATACGGTACATACGCTGGGACTGGGAGACTACTTTGGCTCGGCTGCGCCCCCTGCTGTCCACCACCGAGGTACTGGCCCCGCCCACGCTGCCTGAGCTCTGTCTCCTGGTACGAACGCGACCTGGGGAGTACAAAAACAGTGAAAGGGAAGACACACGAAGAGGTTATCTACTTGAACTTCTTTTATGAGTTCACCCAAACCCTCGACAGAGATGCTGGAGAAACAGAATGAAGACGACCTGGATGAGGGGATAGAAACCCCCCCCCTAAAGAAACAACACAGGAGAGAAACAGACAAACCTGGGTCCAGTCCAATTCAATCTTAGCGGTCCTTGCAAGGATCAACATGGTTGTGATATGTCTAATCTTAAACTAAAGATTAGAAATCTGGATAAAAAAAGTCTGTATGTGTGGTACCAGATTCCGATTTTGCTTGTGCTGCATCTGGCATTTTATATATGTAGGAAAACAGTCAGTGTGAAAAACAAAAAAGGGAGAATGTAATCTACCGTAATGCAATCCTGGAACCTATCATCGGTCATTTTATCAAGATTTAGCATGAACCAATGACTTTTAATCCCCTCTTAGACGACGGACTGTAAACAAAGGCCACACAGGGAGAAGGAAGTCTTGGTAAAAGTCTTTCATAGCTAACTGCTCTCTGCACCCAAAGTCCCAAAAATTTGTTCTGATGATGACATGCTAATCGGCACAGTCATTGTTTAACCTGTTTAAATGATCTTGTTTTCATAACATGAAATTTAAACTCGCTAACTGACGCCACAGCCCCTGTCACTTTGCTGCAAGCCATCTCAACGCTCTCTTCCCTTTCCTATTTCTGACTCTATCTACCAGAGCCCGACAGATTAATCGGCCAGCCGATATTAGCATAAGTGACTATCGGTAACGGCTAATATTATTGCAGATATGCGCCGATATTTCTAGATTTATTCTGCAGTCAAATGGCATTACTGTATTACACTAGCAGTTCTCTTTCACCAGCAGAGGGCGCTATATGGATTACAACAAGCATCATCATCGAGCAGTGACAGTAAATGTGCAGTTACTGTCCAGTTGAGTGACCATCTTGTCTCCTTAAAGATATTTTCTACAAGTGTTTGGTAACTTCATTTGAGGGATAAATGCAAAAAAATGTGTGTATATTTATAACTATGACTAAAAACTGAAGATTAATCTCAGAAAGATATCGGCCGATACATTGGCATCACTTTTATTCTTGTCCTAAAATCGATATCGTCATATCGGTCAGGCACTACTTTCTACTATCCTATCCAATAAAGGCAAAAGCAAAAACATAATCCTAAAAAAAAGAACAAAATAACTTGAATTAAGTTTTGGATAGGCTTCATTTGCTTTGATTATAAAAACGTAAATTTTGCATGAATGACATGAAAAAACTAAATCTGATGTACCAATCGATCAGGCGACGTCACATACCAGATGGAGTGAATCTATTTCTACTTCCTGCTCCATCATAATAACATCATAACGGTGCAAGACTTTGACCTGAGGACACTCTGCATAACAAAGAAATGTTAAAAGTTTGGCACGTGTTTTTAGTTTGTGAAAGCTGCAGAGCACCAGCTGCTGGAACAATCCTCAAAGTCTGTAAAAGAAATCAGCAAACTAAGAAACCTCTTCGACCAACTACACAGAACCTGAAACGGTGTGTGGAAGAACTTTCTGAAACAATGATGTCAGACTTGTTTTCTGTGTTGGAAACGGAGAAATGGAAACAAGTGTTAGGATTACAGTCAGGAAGTCCATGCAGACAGAGACCCATGCAGAGTTCCACATATTTGACGACCACTGGGGGGGGGGGGATAAAGAGAGGAAAAGAGTGCACAGATGAAGGGGCAAAGGGTGTTAATGTGTAGCAAGTGACATCTGATGAAAACACACACTCTCGCAGCTTCTCCACCTTGTGCAATACACACACACACACACACACACACACACACACACACACGGGCACACAAAGAGGCACATAGATCTTACCATCACTTTTACCAGGAGTGCCATCTTTTGGGCATTAAAGAAAGGTGGTGCAGCAGCAAGTGGGAGGAGAGGTGCAGAGTCAGACATTAGTAGCAATTGAAGCAGAAACAGGAGTGAGTGGGTAAGCATGGGGTTTCATCATCATCATTAGTAATGGACATTAACGAGCCACTGGGACTCATTGGAGAAGAAGAAATGAGGGAGAAAGGTTTCCTCCTAATGGCAAGAAGATCACAGCTAAATTTTAATGTGAGGAGCTAGCATCAGTCATTGGTCCGTGGGGGATTCATCAAAACCATATTTTCAAAATGTCAGTGTAGGATTTAAACAGTTCCTGCTGATAGAACAGTCTAATTACAACATCAGCCGTCATTAATAACGGGAGTCAGGCCCATAAAAGCCAGTGACTGCAGGATAATTTTTTTTAATATTTCATCATGATGGGAAAGCAGTCGCTTGGATGAGCCTCTGAAATATGACTTTATAGCTTGTTGCTTTAAGTGCAACACTTCAGTGTTTGTTATCAGGGTTGATTTCTTTTCTTAAAGGTCACATATTCTCCTCCTTTTCGACAAAGTCTCACAGTTCCCCAAAACATGTGTGTGAAGTTTCTGTTCTAAATCCACTCTGATCCTGTATTTGATCATGTCTATAAACCCCTCTATTTCAGCCCTGCTCAGAACAGGCTGTTTCTGTGTCTGTAGCTTTAAATGGAAATGAGCTGTGTCTGACCACGCCCCCTCTCTGGAAGGGCTTGGGTGGGCAGAACAAACACCTAGAAAAGTAGAGCAGGCAAAAGATGGAGAGGATGGACTTTTCTGATCATTGGGGGTTTGTAGATTCAATAGGGACACATATTAGTTGGTCAAAACCACGGTAAAGTGACCTTTAAAGCCATTACAGCCTGGCCATTTCCCAACTGCTGGCTGAAGCAGTCTACTGAATGTTTTTAAAACAGAAAATAAATGGGAGAGAAGTTTACAAAAAAAAAACAAGTCCCCTTCATGTACGTCAAGGTCAAAAGTTTAGCTGAATTTTATCATTTTAAAAAAGCATTTCATGTTGCTTCGAGACTACCAAACACAAATATCACACTGTACTAGGCAGTGTGTGATCACGGTTCAGCACGTTCATTTCTGCTGAATAAAAAAAGAGACATTTTTTTTTATTCACAACAGAGAGAGTTTAACTCTGCCATACAGAGGCCTGTTCTCTGCTCTCTGAAGGATGAATGAAGGTAGATGAACTGTGGAATTACCTAACGAGGCGTAGGACCCCGGGGGAAGGGCCGCTGCAGAGCCGAACGGCGAGGAGGCAGGAACGGTGGACAGACGGGACTTGGCGCTGGAGGCGGCGTTAACATCTATGTCACTACGAGAACGCTGCAGAGAACCCGGCGTCGAAGACACCCTGGCGCTCACAAGCTTACCTACAACACAGACATGATGAGTTAATGGGCAGTTCAATCGGTGTGAGGTATTTCACTGGAGGTTACAGGTATGAATGAATACTTTTATCCCTTCATCTCCTAAATGCTGTCGAGCTTTATACACTGATCACTCCAAACCGAGGACTCAAAAACCAATTATCAAAGCGCTTACTTCTGGTTATGCTCCCTCCAATGACACTCTTCACAGACAATGGCCGACTGAAAAAAAGAAAGAAATACCAGTTACCACTTTAATATTTATTCACAGCACAGAAGAAAGAGAAGCTCTGAGAGGAAATGAAACAAAAATCTCCTGACTCCTTCTCTCTTAGTGTTTATGAGTTTAAGACATGTGGAGGGAAAAAAAACAGCATAAAATGACTGAGATCTTTTCTTTTAGTGTCCTGGCTGAGACAGGCAAAAGAACAAAGAGCAGCCAGACATACAAAAAATAATAAAGATGCATAATCATAAAACATTAAAGGAAGAATGTGCAACTTTTTGATCCAGTAGATGTCGCCCTTGAGCTCCAGCATGAAACCAAAACAAACTGCTGTATGATGACACCTCCTCCATCCTGAAGACACACCTTCAACCCTTCTCCATTCACGTTGCATGAAGGAGTTATCGAAGTGGAACGCACCATAATAAAGCACTAATCACAAGCGGCGAACAAAATTGTGCTCGTCTCGAGCTCTTTAGTTAGCTCGTGATGCACAGAGTCCAGAGGATTAGTTTTTTCTATCTGAAAGAACGTTGGTAAAAAAAAAAGGATCAGGAGGATTTTTCTAAGATATTTAATTTTGTCTGATAAAACAGGTGAAATAAAAAAAAGCAGGCTCTTTTAATTTGTTGTTTGCATCCTCCTTTCGCACTGGAGGCTTCATTTCCCCTCTGCTGCCAGCCTCATTAATAATCTCCCTGCCTCTCCCCACATAACACAGACTCTCACCTGATAATGGTGCACTTCACCCTCCTGTGGCCAAAAAAGGTATTGCAACAACCAAAACTGAAAAATGTTCTTCGCATCCTTTTTTTTTTTAACCTCATTTCACATTGAAATAAATAAGAAAGTGGTATTAGTGTATTAGTGGTTTCCTCAAATCAGTCTTTGAGTGGACAAAGAGAACAGGTGGACGTGAGAGATGAGATAAACTTCGCTCTTCATGTTTTCTGTTGTTGTTTTTCATGCTGCTCCTCTTTGCTGCTCCGAGTTGAACTGAGGGGTAACAGTATGTGAACATATGAAAGATTTAAAAGAAGGTGAAAGGTGTTAAAACGGAGCTTCATCTTTCTTACTTCAGACTCTCCTGGGAGGACGAGGAGGAGCGGTCAGACTGAGGCAGAGACACGATGCTGTCGGAGCTCTTCAGGTGAGACGCGAGGGCCTTCTGATAGGTCGACTCCAGCGCCTGGAAGAGGTGCTCTGCCTCTCGACTGTAGTGTCCATGGAAACCCCAGTAGCACCTGTAGGTAAGGGGGGGGGGGGAGCAGAAGAGACGAAGACAGATGTAAACTTAGCGAGGGAAAACTATGGCTAATACTGTAATTCCTGTAACAGAGGCGAGGGAAGGTGACGCACAGCTGACTAACATTCTTTGCAGAGACGTTTAAAAAGAGACTTTAATGCATTGAAATGCATTGAATAAACCACTGATTCTCAACTGGTGGCTCGGGACCCACAAGTGGTCCGCCGAGGCGTTTTCAATGGTGTCCTGAATTGTGTGTGAAATGCGTCAAAAAGATTAAGAAACGCTTTTAAAACACGTTTGATGTGTTCCATCTCTTTGTTCTGACGCATGCTTTGTACCGTCAGAGGTCCAAACTTCAGGAATAAACATGACAGGTTTGCAAAACATCAGAAATTTGGGTCACTATTTCTCACTACAGGTTGTTGGCGGGATCAGTCGAGAACCACTGGAATAAACTTAAAAAGCTGCAGAACACAGAGACGTTTAGAGCCCTTATCTCAATGAGCTGCCAGCTGTTGCAGACCTGAGGTGTATACGAATCTTCTCCTAAAGGCGGAGATTGCAGGAACTAAAGGCAGCTTTCCCTCGTTTAGTTTTCATCCTGCGAACACTGACCGAACTTTTCCAGGGAGGTCACACATGAGTAACACGAGGGATTTTAACATCCTTTTGTTTTGACAGGGACCAAAGTATTCATAAAGTGAGCTTCTCTGTCTGTGTGTTAGGAGGCATCCAGCATCCACTCTCAGGAAAAGTTGCAGCAGTTAGATTTTTTTTTTTTTTTTTTTACTAACACCTGTGACGACACCGTTTCAGTCATTTTCATTCTACTTTGAAGTTGTAAAAGGCTGATTTCAAACTGTCTTCAAAGAGGGCGTTTAAATTCAAGTCTGAGTGATTAACGACACCAAGTTTTCTTGCTTGAATTTAGATTGTAGCGTCACAGAGTTAAGGTGAGCACTTCCTTTTTATCCTTCTTATTTGGACCACAGAGACAAAAAGTTTGTGTCAGAAATCTGTTGAGATAAAAAAAAATAACCAGGAGTGACACTTACTTTCTTGCGATGGATCTGGCCTCAGAGTCTGCATCGTGTATGCCTTTCTTGATGGTCTCAGTCAGAACAGCCACATGTCTGGGATAGTACGGGAACATGGTGAGGAGGGCACAAGAATTCAACCCGACATCACAAACATAAAACAGGAACTAAAGGCGGTGTAAGCCAACGCATCAAACGCTAAGCTATAAAAAAAAAAAAAAGTAGAATATCTTATCTCTTCTTCTCCTTCAGTTTGATTCCTCCTGCGGTCCACAGGCAATGTGACCACCCACAGGGTTTACCGCACGCTTTTTAAAGACTCTGCGGTTGTTGTCATGGTAACAGATATGGAGGAAAACGCGCTAGGGATTTTGATGATGACAGCTCTCTCGGGCCTCATCAGTCTAATGGGCCTCATCAGCGGTGCATCCAGCCAACATTTGGCTAACTCAAATGTCATACACATACGTTATACCGCTTTATTTTGACACATAAAACATGACAACTTTCCCAGAGTGCTGTTCCAGGTTGTAGAGGAAACAACCGAGTCTGCTGCATAAGGTGTTCAAACTTACCGTTCCAGTGTGTTCGTGTGCCACTCTTGCAACATGAGATCTAAGAACTCATAACAGCGTCTGAAAGGGGGAAAAGAAAAATACTTATAGAGTGTGAAACACCATTACAGAGGATATTTAAAGAGAGTCTTGAAAGTTTGGCACCATTCATTAATGTTTGACTGTAAGGAAGAAAAAGTCTTGGGAGTGCTCCAGGAGATGCTTCACTTCACGGCCATGAAACAGGCTGTCATCGTTGCAATGTAAACCCTGACAAATTAAAATACCTCCACTAAAAAGCCTTTCCCCCCCCAGTGCTGGCTTCTCTGACAACAATGCAGCAGCCAGTATGTCCTCCTTCTAACTTTAGATTCTGGTCCTGAATGCTCTGGATTTGTTTGGACCAGAGAAGGTAGGCGGTTTTGGGGCACCCCCACACAGCTGTTTTGGACGCCCCTCGGTTTGCCAGATATGAGAGCAGTTATCAGGTCAACAGGTGTTGTAGTGATGGAAGCGGGCAAGAGAACTGGTTCAGATAGAAGTGATTGTACCCGACCTAAAAAGCCTCTGCATGTTTCTAATAAGCTCCACGAGCAGAAACGTGCTCAAACTAGGATCTACACACTGGCTAAACACTGAAGCTTCAGGTGTCCCAAGAGATGCATGGCCCCTTTGAGATTATGTTGCAGCCATCACAGTCAGTTCCACAGCTGCTGGTTGAAGCAATCGACTTGAGCAACTACAAAACCTTTTGCACCTCTCATGCATAAAAGAGTCATACGAATCATGTGACTTATAACTCTTTATCTGTGACACCAGAAGTACAGACAGATGACCTTTAAATCTAGTGTACGTAGTTCTGTCCTCTTACCGTCTCACTGCTACCGATTTGGACGTGCAGTTACTGGTGATGATGGGGATGAGACGTGGATAGTGTGTGTGCTGGAGGACAAAGACAGAAAAAAAACACACTGTAAACAAAAGAAGGTCAGTAATCATTGATACTTGTAGGAGCCAGACGAACTTCTTCTTCCACTGTCCCCTCTCAAATACCGACCCTGAGGATGAGGCGGATGGCGGCCATTCCAGACGTGGCCATGACTTTGGCACTGTTGGGCACAAGGTTCAGCAGTGTGGGCATGACGCTCTCCGCTCCATGGTCAAACTTGTTTCCCAGCAGTGATGACAAATGTCTGCCAGGGGAGAAAAAGGAGGGAGGACAGAGTGTCATAAAACAAAGTGCAGAGCCCGGAGATTATCCCTCCATGGTGACGTGTTTGATGGTTACAACGAAAACAATGATGTGAAGTGACATGAAGCATTAAAGATATCACAATTTGAAACACTAGTTCGCTCTTTAGTTAGCTCGTAGCTTCACATTGCACATAAAGTGACTTTTATGTAGTCTTCATTTTAAAACAAACTACACGTTTGGCCCATGGCTTCTTCAGGTTTGCTGCACAACACACTGCACAGGTGTTCTTAACAACAGCTGCACCACATCTGATCAACAGCAGGATGAATGTCCATATATGGTCATGTCTCCATGCCTATTATCTGAAAACCATCACTCATAAGCAACAGAATATAATGCATGCGGGGGCGGACTATTGCAGAGTCGGGCAAGTCTTCTTCTTATGAAAAAACACTTTCTAAAAACATTGTTCAATAATCCACAGAAGACAGAGAAAATACAAAATGTGGGTTTATTTTGCGTCATTATATTTTCCTTCGGGTGTGTGTGTGACTGTGTGTGTGTTGGCCCTCTTATGGGTAATATGTGGAGCCTTAGCTGGTGCAGTGTTTAAAGCAAGGGCTCCAGGTGAGATGGGAAAGGTGATTGAATGAATGCAAACATTTTTTTTTACCATGTCAGCCTGTCGGAGTTATCACATCTATACCGGATTTGTCTGTTTTGTTGTACCTCAGCTGTGGGAAAGTTTATACTTGATGTAGAACTTGACTCGTGTTGACATGATCCACGTAGCTCCGGTCTATTCATCAACCTGCTGCTCTTTCGGTGCATCTCTGCTCGGTTCCACCTCATCAGGGTGGTATTAAGATTTGGATGACGGATGCTTTTGGGTGGAGAGCATGCTGCTCGTTTCATACCCGGGCACGGCTCATGTTCATTAGCTCAAGTATGTGGAAAGAAGATATTTTAGCCAGCTGTTTTCCTGCAAAGTGAATGTCACTGCTGCCAGTCAGAGCTGATGTTGATCGATGAATGAAAGATGAACGACTCTATAAAATAAAAAGATAACCTTTAACTGGCATTAAAACGCGTGTAGTAAATCTTTGGTCTTCGCACTACAGTGGAAATAAAAAAAATACTGAAAGTGTAGGCACTTACTGTATATTGAAGAGTATTTTCATTGTTTTAGTCACTGCTGGCTGTACTACAAATGCTCATTTTTGGGGGTAATAATGATATCACAGACCTTGAATTAGGATCTGCACCTTTAAGAAAAAGCTAAAGACCCATCTCTTTCATGAACACCTGCACACTTAATTAAATAGATGTAGATGACGATGGTTTTGTTTGATGATGAGGATATTAAGGATGGTTTTGACGCTGATTAGATTTCTCAAGAACAGCTGTCGACATTGCGCTTTGACTGGTCACTTCCTGTCAGTACCTGTATGTCTGATCGGACTTAAAGCTGTTCTTTTGCACTTACTGACGTTGTCTCCTCCTCTCTAGATCCTTATACTCTCTCTCTGATGTACGTCGCTTTGGATAAAAGCGTCTGCTAAATGAATTGTAGGATTGTAGGATCTTACCCCAGTGTGATGCAGGCCTCTCGAACCACCTGTGAGCGCAGGTCTTTAGCCGACAGCTTTAAAGACGTCTCCAGGAGACGCAGCTGCTGAGGGAAACCCTCATAATCAGTTGCACCAGCCATCATGACAGAGCGGACCTTCTTAAGCTGAAGAGGAAGAAGAGCAGAGAAAATGAACTCCCACAATGTGTCTGTATGTATTTTAGCTTTTGTTTTTCGTACAAAGCTGTTCTCCGGGTCTTACCGCAACCACTCGGTGCTCCCAGTCATGTTTGTCATCAGACAACACTTCTCTGATCTTAGTGAGCTGGTCCTCCAGCTCTCTGTTGGAGTAGATCTAAAAACAGAAAGACAGAAGGGAAGAGTTGATGAATGATGAATCTCTCTCTTCTTTTTAAAGATTTAGTTTTGGGCATTTTGTGCCTTTATTAGAGAGATAGGACAGTGGATAGAGTCTGAAATCAGGGAGAAAGAGATTAGGGAATGACATGCGGGAAAGAAGCCACAGGTCAGATTCGAACCTGGGCCGCCCACGTGGAGGACTGCAGCCTCCATACATGGGGCGCACGCTCTAACCACTGCGCCACCAGCGCCCTGAATCTCTATCTTTTAACACCTTACCACCTTTCTGACCCCTGGGGTTGATCCTTCCAAACCCCATTAGGCCTCCAAAACATTGAACCACAAAGCTTGTTGAGTCAAACTCAGCCTGGGGACAATTTTCAGACACTGAAAAAGGTCGATGATGTACGTCCACCCCCTCGTCATTGTTTCATGTTTTAAGAAAAAGACCGTTTAATCTTTGATTTTAAAATTATCCTGAAAAGACATTGGAACTGACCTCATATTAAACTCATTTTCACTTTGCATGATGTCAATCTGTGAAACCTATGGAGTAGCTTTGCATAACATGCAGCTAAAAAAACAACCTTATTTATCTGATGCTGCTGTCCGTAAAAACCCTAATTTCAGCCTCTGTCTGAAACGGTTCTTTCAGCTGCCGTCTCTTTAACGTCTCCCTCCACAGGTACCCACTGTCCTCTCATTGGCCAGCTCTCTGGAAGCCTTCCAGGAGGGGCAGAACGCTGCACAGCTGCTTAGGGAGGGCTGCTCGTTTGCTGGTAGAACGCCAATGAAAACGGCTCCACCTGCCTAGGTAGAGGCTTGAAGCAGTCTCTTGTGTGTTTAGCGGAACAAGCTGTTTAGCGCCCTCTGCAGACTTATCCTGCCATAACTGCAGCATATGTTTACATCATGATCTGAAACTTTGCCCACGTTTTGAATGAGGTTCCTGCATTGTAACAAAGTGAGTTTTAAAATGGAGCTATGCATCATTGGTGAACTTAACTTTTACACAAACTATTTGTTGCCACTTAAAAGGGCTGCAGGGCAACCACTGTGAGTTATATATCGTTAGAATCTGACATTATTTCTGCCTGTCTGAATACATTTACATAAAAACATACTGCTTTAAACTGCTGTCTTTCATCTCTAGCTCTGACATAACCAACAAGTTACACTGTAATAAAGGACCAAGATCTAAAATCACCATATAGATCCTGTGAGAGGATCTCTTCATCTTCAAATGAAACTGGTTGATGCAAAATAACTGCAATTAAACAATGATTTTTTATGTTGACAGTAACATTTATTTTCTTAAATAATGACTGTCATGGTCAAACTGAAGAATCCTCAAGTCTCTTTTTTCAGGCTTGATGCAGCATTAGATCGCCTTCCCAAACCATCCAAAGAAACCTCCGATTCTAGCCTCAGGGACCTCAGCCTGCACCACATCATGAGAGATCTGGAGACCTGGTATTCTGCTGGGCTGCTTCGTTATCACGTCACCCCCCAGGCCTGAGACTGTGTATAGAGGCTCAGCTTGCAGGGTTACAGGCGTATGTGCAGTTTGGACCTCAGGAGAGACTGGTGAAGGCTCTTCTTCCATGGCATGGGTGACAGCAGAGGTTTCATCAGCACCACTTTTATTTGGTGGGGGAGCAGGCAAAGAAGCGGTTTCTTGGCTGGGCTGCCAATTCCAAACTACACCCCCCAGAACTGAAACCATGGCTGAAGGTTCAGCTGGCGGGACATCAGGAAGTAGTGGTGACTGCATTGTTGTAGCAGAGTCTGGTTCTTGGTCTTGTAAAGGCTCTTCTGATATTTTAGCCTGACTGAAGGTTAAAGGTTCATCAGGTTTACCTGAAAGAAGTGGTGGAGCTGGCAACTTTACAGGTTTCAGTTCTTGGCTTGGCTGCTTATCCACCACCTCACCACCAACCTCACCCCCCAGGACTGAAACCATGACTGAAGGTTCAGCTGGCAGGGCATCGGGAGGTGGTGGCGACTGCGTCAAAGCTGAGTCTGGTTCTTCTTGAAAATCCTGACTTAAGGTTGAAGGTTTATCACAATCAGCTGTAAGACGTGGTGGAGAAGGGATTATATGACGGTTCATGCTCAAGTCCACTGTGTGTGTTTAAATCCATGTCCTTATCTTTGCTGAATACTTTCCCTCTAATTTTGCTTCACGTGAGGTATTTTTCACCTTCTTCAAAACCAAACCAAACTTCACTTTGCTTACCTGGATTGAGGGAACGTCTTCAAAGGCTTTGATGAAATCCTCTTCGTCAACAGCACCGGCAGCAGCTTCTTTAGCTGTGACAAAGAAACATTGTTCCTGAGATTAAAGCAGCACTTTCACTTTTTCTTAAAGTATGAGCTTTGTTAAAATGATAGCCTCCCTCACCTGAAGGCTTAGCTGTGGCTGAGCTGGGTCTCCTAACAGAGGTCATTACAGGCTTCCTGCCACTGGGGGGCGCTTTGGACGAAGAAGAAGAGGAGGACCGGCCTCCATCCACAGAGTCTTCATCCTCAAAGTTCTTATCTGCAACGACAGAGGCAGAAGAATACAAATGCATGATGTCTTTGATTAAAGCATTACATTTCATATTCTGTGAAGAGTTAATGTTATTCCCTTGTTGTCGATGTTAGGAGATATTTCCCATCAGGATCAATAAATCTGGTCATCATTCAGAGTCGCATCACTCCCCTCAGAGGTTAAATGCTTCATCATTCTCTTTTCTTCATCGCCCCTGAGTCATCTCTGCATCGTATGACCTCTAATGCAACATGGTCAATCTGTCAGCTTGTTTCTATGTATCCATTCAGCCTTTATCTATCCATCCATCTGACTCTAATCTGGTTTGGCAGCCCTGCATGGATGTATGAAACCCCCCCACCGTCCTCGTCACCTGCCCAACGTGACCACTCACACGAGGGATTAGCCCGGGGCAGATATGACGGAGCTGGGTGGCTGCGTTCAGCTCAGGCAAGAATGATAATGGGAATGTTTGCAGCTTATAGGTCACTGTCTCTTTAAGAGATATTATAAACAATTCATTTCTCAATCCGTTTATAAAATAGATAATTTAACCCTAAATACTTTCCTTCTTTAATCAAAATCAGCTTTTTATCTTAATACCCTTTGACAGCAATTACTTCTCAACTGTTTTTCCTATCTTTAAGTTTTCATCTTCTTTCCCCAATGTATGTTTTAGTTATCATTTGATTCTAAAGCACTTTGGGTCCATACATCTCCTATAAAATCTCTAAATATAGAACTTCAAGTGACGTGACCTGACTTACAATAAGCCATTGTTAAGGAATAAAGCCTCGCCTCTTAGCCGTACAAACATTGTTCACATGAGCAAAGCCAGGTCATATTAATTCATATAAGAGTGATCAGGCAATACAGCTCCCTCGGAAACTGCCTCTGCAGACCGAGAGAAACAGACACAACCAAAACAAAACAAATGGCAGACAGAAACAAAAGGCAACAGGTTGCAGGCAAAAAAAAAGAGGTCGAGACGGACAGCCAGAGAAAGCAGATTAATTAAGGAAACACGACAAAGATAAAAAGCCGAGCTGGAAGACAACATGGAGCGAGAAAAGGAGAGATAAAAGGCGTCATTCTTACTGGAGCAGATTTTCTTGCACATCAGCTTCCTTAGCATGTCTCTGCTGCACCCTCTAACACGCTCTCTCCCTTTTCACATCTCTGGCGACAGGACGTACTTGCTTGTGTGTGTGGTTGCTTGGGTAGGTGTGTGTGTGTGATCTGCATGCGCCTCTGTAGCAAGCTGAGCTCTGACAAAGTGCCAGACTAACCATCCCTTAAGCCTTGCTCCTGGAGTTCAGAAAGTGTGTGTTCATATGCGAGTGTGTGTGTGTGTGGCTCACAATAGCATCATCAGGGATGCTGTTGGACTGTATAGACTCTTTTGGTGAAAAGAGGGAGGGGTCTGATGCTATGAGATCACACACTCGTACTGAAAAGACAGCAATGATGTTACTGCAGATGTGACTAAGTATGAAGAGGTTTCCAAATGACCACTAGGATTTAGGAATTTAACTTTTCTAATTACCTAAGTTACCTTTAAGGGGAATATACCTTAGCTAAAGATTTCATCATTTATCAACAAAGGAACCATTTAGTCAACCATGGAACAAACAAAGGAACCAACCAACACACCAACCAAGGGGCCAACCAGGGAACCAAGGAACCAATTAGCCAACCATGGAACAAACAAAGGAACCAACCAAGGAACCAAAGGACCAAGAAATCAATCAACTAAGGGACCCACCAAAGAACCAAACAACAAACTAAAAATCAACCAAGGAACCAAGAATCCAACAAAGGAACCAATTAGCCGACCAAGAAACCAACCAGGGAACCAAGGAACCAATTAGACAACCAAGTGACAAATGAACCAGCCAAGGAACCCACCAAAGAACCAAACAAGGAACTAAAAATCACCCAAGGAACCAACAGACCAACAGGAGCTGAACGGAGGGACCAGTGAGCCAATCAAGGAATGAACAAAGCAACAAATTAGCCAAACAAGGAACCAACAAAGGATCCACTGAACATACCAAGTGACCAATGAACCAACCATGGCACACACCAAGGAACCAATCAAGGAACCAGGGCACCAAGAAACCAAACAACCAAGGGGCCAACAAACCAATTAGACAAACATGTGACCAATGAACCAACCAAGGAACAAAAAATCATCCAAGGAACCAAGAGACCAACTAAGGAGCTGAACGGAGGGACCAATGAGCCAATCAAGAAGAACCAACCAAGAAATCAAGGAGCCAATGAGCCAACCAAGGAACTAATGGACAGAACCAATGAACCAATCAAGGAACCAAGGACCTATTTTACACTAAAGGCAGCTCCAGTCATGGAATTGAGTCTAACGTTTTCCCCTTTTAACAAAAATAACTGACCACTTTGAAAACTGCCTTTTATTTCCTTTAAGGCGAACTAATGCTTCCTTTAAAGAAGATATATGAGCTCAGCCTGCCTGATCTCCTCCTCTACATGAAGGCTAATAGCTGGAGCACCTAAACAGAGAGGACAGCACCCTGCCACACTTAGGAAGTATTGATCACAGCCGTCAGAGGGGCTGTTTTCATCAGGCTGACATTAAAATGTTGAGGTGATTTATCAGAGTGTCAGGGGAGCAATTAGAGCTGTATGCAACATATTTGGCAGTTCAAGAGCACATGTGCACACAGGTTTATCAGATTCAGGCTGCAGCAGTTAGGTGACTGGTGACAGCAGCAGTGTTCATCTTTTGTTTTGCAGTTTGCCACTCAAACCGAGGTGGCGTCCAAAACAGCCATGACGGGGTGCTTTTAAACCACCTCTTAGAAGGAGGACATACTGGCTGCTGCATTGTTGTCAGAGAAGCCAGCACTTCAACATAACATGTTTCCTTTATGTCGTTGGCTACAGTAAGGTCACTTTATCATTTCATTCTACAGATTGGTCCTTAAAACAGATTGATTTATTGATAGATTTATATGACAAGTCAGACAATGTCTAACATTTGGCTTGCATCACAGCAGTCACATTTGCAATTTATTATAGACGAGATAGAAAGATGCATAGATTTAACACAAACCTTTAAACACCAAACACTTCAATGAACCTTTGATCTTGGTTTAAGCTCCAAATTATATTTCAAAGATTGGCCTGTGGAAAAAAATCTTCAGTAGTATCCCTAAAAAATAAAAACCATTGAAGTGGACATGTTGTCTTAAAAAGTACATTGAAAAAAAAGTTCCCAGGGGTTTGTGGTTGTGATAACCTCACACACAAAGTAAGAACAGGTCTGCGTCAAGGATAATACAGGTTGCTGTACCTTGAATGTCCACTAGGTGTCAGGACACACTGAATTTCAATACAGTAAAGACCAAAACTTGCTGAAGCTGCAGAGTCACCAGTAATCTGTTTCTAAACCACAGGTTTACATAATGGGAGGGATTCCCCCCCCTCGGCATGCTCTCAAAAAAATCGAGGGATTGAGAGAAAAGTTCTTGGAGGTAAAGTTTAGAGAAAGTGAGAGCCATTTCAAAATATTCTGTAATGCCTGATAGCAGCTGTGAGACGGAGGAAAGGTCTCCTCTGTATGACACGACCGTTTAACATCCTTAAAGTCTTCATTGAATCTCTTCTTTCCATGCAGCTCTCCATAACTCATTGACATATTAGATTTAAGTCAGCATCTCTTATTAGCATAGATATAATGGTGACTATATTGCATACGCTTGGATAAATAATCAAATTTAAATTAAGAGGGAAGGAAATACAGAGTAAAAAGTAGTGATCGATTGACCTAATTTACTCTCCCATTTCCTTATTTGATGCTTTATTTCAGTCTATTTGTCTCTTAGTTCACTCTCTGGAGTTCAAGGACAAACCGATGAGGTTTTCCACCAGGCTGCGGGGTCTTGTCCTTCACGCCGGCCGTGGTTCTACCCTGCAGGCTGTGTGGTTACATAACACACAGCTGACCGGTGATCAGCCTTATGTCATAACAAAGACATCTTGTTCTGCTGACAAACCAGAGAGGCTGCTGATGGTGCATAAAATTCTCCTTCCGGCTATAAGTTGGATGAATAAAAAACAAACATTTAGCTGCAAAGAGTTAAAGTACAGATGGTTTTAAAGGTCACATATTCTCCTCCTCTTCTTCAGTTTAAATAAGTCTCAGAGCTCCCCAAAACATGTGTGTGAAGTGTCTTGTTCTAAATCCACTCTGATCCTGTATTTGATCATGCCTATAAACGCCTCTATTTCAGCCCTGCTCAGAACAGGCTGTTTCTGTGTCTGTACCTTTAAATGTAAATGAGCTGTGTCTGACCACGCCCCTCTCTGGAAGGGCTTGGGTGTCTCGGGCTTTCTCTCTCCATGCCCTTTTGTTTACAGTGAGAAGGCAGACTCAGAGGGCAGAACAAACACCTAGCTGTGGGAGTGTAACCCACCTGGGGGAGGGGTTACTGCCCTTTGTGATGTCATGAAGGGAAAATCTCCAAACAACCTGACAGAGACGGAAAAGACGGAGAGGATGGACTTTTCTCATAATTGGGGGGTTTGTAGACAGACTAGAGACACATGTTAGTGTTAGAGAAACATGGTGAAGTGTAATTTGAATATGTGACCTTCAAAGGTCTTCAATCAAAGATAAATAAGCATATTTGTCTAAAGATGATTTGTCTTTTCTTTAAAAAGCAGTTTATGTGAAAAAAGTTTAACTTGTGTTAACACAATAGATAAACAGTTATAAAAATATAAAAACAAACATTTCTGGAAAAGATAAACCCCCTCAACTTCTCCTTTGTATTTAATAACAGACAACAATGTGAAAACAACAATATCAGGTTCCCACCAGCTTCTTGTGCAACACGAGCCCGCACAGGGAAAATAAAAGACCGATCTCTGCAATGCAATGTTGCACAAGTCGGAGTGAGAAGAAAAGGCCATTCAGTGTACGAGAGATGTTGTCACAGCACACACACACACAGAACAGAAAC